TGCCACCCTCAGGACAAACGGGATATCTAATGCACAGATTACCACCCTAACATCAGACATCTCCTCATAACAAGGCTCCAAGAATCCAGAGCTGTCTGCATGTTGTTCTCCCCTCCTGTATTTACTATAATAAAACAATGCACTCAGCAGGGGCCGCTAGCAGGACTTTTAATCTCGTTAAACATAGCAAAAACCTTGGCAGATCTGATGTCCACGTGGTAAGATGTCCACTGTGTGTGGGAGCCACTAATGCAAAAGCACGGTCACCTTGTCACGGTGACTTTGATCTCAGAAAAGTCCCAGATCAGATGACAAAAGGGATTTAGCAGCTTGTGGAGAGCCTGCAGCTGCACGGTGACACTCATTATTTCTGCTCACATGCTTTTTTAACGGTACTTAGTACTTTGTACTTTCATTCATTCGACATAGAGAGGAGCACATGAGACTGTTGTGACAGGAAAAAGTCTGAAAGGGTGACAATGCAACTTTTTAAAAAGAAGAAATCGCAATGTTCCAGTTAAAAATTACAAGTTTAATTCACAAGCAATAAAACACACTTGGTCTGGTGTTACTGTTAGCTTATGGTGGCTAATGTTAGCAAACTGTTGGTAGGTATAGCTACCAACACTGAACACTGAAGGAATATTAACCAGGAGAAACTGACTGCAGTGGCTGCATTGCTCTGTCTTTTGTTATTGTTTGGCAGAAAATTAGTGGGAGAAAATTACATAGTACCTTGTGAAATTTAGGCATGTAATAATCACCATTGTTGCCTTTGGATGGTAGAGCTACTTTAAAGAAAATTAATAGGTAAAAATGTCATTAGTCTAAAAGGTAAACATCCCTGATAAAAGTCTTACATCATGTGATATAGTTCCTAGTATTCTTATTGTACGATATGAATGCACTCCTTGTCAGCTACATTGTGTTGCTGCCACTCCTACTAGAGTCTGGCTTAACACATCATCAGACCTCAGCTGGCGCCTCTGAGCAGCTCTCTTATCATCACACCATGTGCTGCGATACAGAAAGGTCACACCGGATCTCAACCAGGAGAGATCACCCAGAGGAGGGTGCTATACGCAGTACTGAGGCAGAGTGAGACTCAACAGTGAACTACTGCATGTCTTCAACAACCTTTTTTTTCTGTGTGTTTCTTTTCCAGTAGCAGAAAGAAGACGAGAAGAGAAGAGGTATCTGATCTTGTTGTGTAACCAGAACTGAAGCACTTCATGCTGGACTGCTTCAAACAGCTGACCTGAGCTCATCTCCAGACAACCAGCAGCAGTCCGATTCCCTGATTCCACCTCTTCAAAGCAGCCTGACCAGCTCAGTCCGGCTCTACTCAGGCCCAGCAGCCTGATCGAACTCTCTTCTCTCATAATCCAGCCAAGATCAAGATCTAACCAGTCCCCATGGAGCGTGTTCAGCACATGACCAAGTCGGCCATCCGCCGAGCGTCTCAGATCGAGGTGAATCCACAAGCTAAGAGGAACCTGCAGGAGCTGTTCGTCAACTTCACCCTCATCCTCATCTGCCTGCTCCTCATTTACATCATCGTCTTGCTGAGCAGCTGAGGACGGCAGAGACGTCCACAGAGAGAGTCTGGCATGGCTGTGCTGTGGACGAGGGTTTGGCTGAGATATGGGCTTTACTCATACAGATCAGATTTCTAATAAAGCAATAATACCATCCCCATATATCAGCCTAACCCTGTTTGACAACAGCTGTGAAGGATCATGGCGGTCAAACAAATCCATGTGAAAACAATAATGGCCAAACACTCTCAAATTGTTCCTGTCAGAGCTGATCAGGGATCAGCTTCCCTGCCTCTGTGTCTCAAGGGAATGATCATAAGTGACCCGACTTCAACAGTTTAAACTTCACTGATACACTGTATGTATGTATATGTGCCTCCTGCTCATTCAGACCCTGCTTACATCACAATGTGATTTACAGAGGAAGCTGACTTCCTCCTTTAAAGACACACTCTTAAAAAATGTCTCTTGCTTGATTAATAACAGGTGCAATGTGTATAATACTGAGATATCAATACACCACTACTGTTCATTTTCAAATTCCCATGAGTCCTATTGCTTCCTGCAGCCCCCCAAACACCACCATCCCCAGGAGAAAAATAAACATGCTGGAAATTATTCTTTTCCCATTTGCATTTTAATTTCCTCCTCCACCTGCCACTGCCAGAGACCAAAGGCAGTAAAAACATGGCTGTAGTGTCTGTGACATCAGGTTTCTGTATTTTGAAACCTCAATGCAGCAATTGTGGCAGCCTAAAAATCCAAATTTGGCAAAAAGAAACTGGGACAGGACAGCAGCAAACACTGTGGCTGAGTGTGACAGGCTGAGGCACCTGTCAATTAAGTAAACACACTGAGCGTGAAGTCCCTTTTATTATCAGTATGACAGATGGCCAAGTGTGTTAGAATCTAGTATGACGGTAGCAGGTCTGATATGACACTCAGTGTGACCGATTATTATGTAACATATAACACTTGACATCATACTTAGAGATTATTCTAAGTACTGTGAGCCTGTAAAGTATGTTAATAAGACTGAGAGCATCTTCAACCTTCTTAGCATTTTGCTCTGAGGGGCAACATTTCACTCCTACAATCCACTATGTTAAGTATGGACTACTTTACTTGGGCCTAGAGGTCAATGTACATTTGAGTTTTAAACACACACACACACACACACACACACGCACGCACACGCGCACATGCACACACAGCTTCTGGTATACTGCAAGCCTGATATATACATATACAGTACATGCAGTTTATCAGTTGTGAAGAAGACTTCACTTTGCATGGTGTGATTTCACTTAATGACTTTTTTTGTTTATGTCATTCAGTTTTGAATTATTCCTGACTAATATGGAAATTTTTGGTGTATTACAGCACGTGCCCTGATTGTAGCAGCAAGAGTGTATAAAAACAATCTGTAAAGTCAGATTCCTAAATCTGAAGTGCATAATAAGAATGTATTATATGATCACACATATCAGGAATTTTACAACTTACCAGCCACATTTACATATAATGTATCTTCATGATATTTGCCAGGACTGAGAATGTGTTAATATAAATCACAATTACATTTGGGATTAGAAATTATTGAAAATAAATTGCACTTTTGTTCTTCTGTGTATGTTTGGAAGATTGTACCATGCACCTGACTTTTAAACTATGTAAGAAATCGCATGTCAATAAAATTAAAGTGGCTTCTCCTGCTGCAAGTGTGGGGAAATGTTTTATTAATTGCAAATCCTAATTTTATGCATTGAGATGTAAAAAAACAACAATCCAAATACAGATTACGTCGTCAAAAACAGCTTCAAAAGATAATTTGACCAGTCCTAAACTCATAGATGGTGTAGATAACTGATGGTTTGTACAATTTATATGCGATTCAAATTTGAAAATAGGAGAAAAAAATGATAATTTGAAAATAAGACAACATTCATCCTTGCGTTTAAAGACTCAGTTTTGGAGTCATACATGCTGGACATCCTTAAAGCTATTATATTCACCGTATCTGTACACAAAAGACTCACACAGTATCAGATTAAAAGTGTTCAAACATGTCCATTATCGCTTCAAATAATACAATTTTAAAGACAAATTTTGCATTGAAAATGTTCTTGAAATCTAATCTGGTTTAAGGTCAGTGACCAGCGTTGGATTATCTATGTAGCTTTTGTTTGAGGGAAGCTAGCATTATTATTGTTGTTGCATGACTGCCATCTAGTGGAGCTTTCTCTACTCTGTTCCTATTTAGATGTTACCTCTTTTAATGCGTTTCCAGACTGATAATTGGTAATTAGTGAACAATTTTCCATTTTAAAGGCTAAATTAATCACCTCTATAACATGTTTTACTAAGCTGCTATCTTTAAATTAGTAAACAACACTTAACCACACCACCATAACTACTACTACTGGCTTGACACATACTAAAAATAATTAGAAATAACCATTAGCATTGGTAACTTAGCATTAAGCTAGCTGCTAATAAATTACTGACTTACCTGGTTGCCTCAGTGGAAGAGGAGATGACAAAAAGTCCACAAAGGCTCTCCAAAACTTCTCCAGCCGTCCAAAAATGTTTAGTTTAGACATAAAAAGGGTGTTACCAAAAAAGCTAGCAACAAAAACGCCATGTTTCTTGCTTTTAACGGCGTTATGTTAGCTGCCACGCAACTTTTAGCTAGCAGCTGATTCATCAATAAACAGTTGATTTCAAGGAGACATGTGATTGGTTGATTTAATGTCAGCGTTCAAGGAATTTTTTTCACATAGCGACTGGCCAAGGTGAAATGCGATTGGTTAATTTAATACCAACTTCGACAAAAGGGAGCGCCAATCACAAAACTCTTTGGTATGTTATCTGTCTTTTTACCTAGCAACTAGCCAAGGTAGGATCCTGATAGGGCAGACACTTGTCTCATATTTGCTTAGGTTTTCTAATTTAAGACACGTTGAAATGTGTATGGAGGGTATTTGGCATTTTACATGTCGTGGTAAATTGGTTTTATCATTTAAATAAAATTATATTAAGAGGTTCTACCCTTTTCTCTTAAACTGACAACTGTAACACAGAACTTGTGAACAACTGTATTTTTATGTGGAAAAATCAATAAACAGATTGTTAAAAAAAAAAGGTTCTACCCTTTGCAATTAGATTTGTATTTAGCTAGAGGACTGATGACAAACATCAGCGTCCTCATTAATAACAGCAAACAGAGGCACAAATGTCATGCATGTGGCTGTCTGAATACACAAAAAATGCAAATTAAATTATTTAACTTTTTTGTAATGATATAAAAGTTAAACATATTTCTTGCCTTATTAATGAAGCTGTCAGTCGACCCTTTACTGTATATTGTGTCTGCAATACACAGCTGCATATAGGATGTTGTGGTTGTTCCTCACACAGACATACACACTAAAATGAACACAACAAAAAGCTTTATCTCACAATCATAATTTTACTGTTCCATAACACACAACAGAAATGATATAAATATAAATAAATATTGTTGCTATAATTGTTATATATTTTTACTTCAAAAATGGCAAGACAGACATTATCAAATGATAAGTCACAAGGGTGACATCAAATCACTTCCAACTCAAATACAAACTGCAACACATTTACTATTTCAGTTTATTTCTTGAAGTGTAAAGATGTCACAATCTTCTCTTCCAGATTTTTTGCAATTTTGGAAACACTGAGTTGAAAGTGAAATGAACAAAGCCCTGATCAGTATATCATCACATAAAAAAAACTAAACAGACAATTCATGTTTTAATAAGTTGCAGTTTCTATGGTTCACTAATGGTTGGCTGATGCCAGTGTTAAAAATAATAATAAAAAAAAATCTTCAGAAGTTTCCTCTGCCAGGTGTTGAGAAACAGTTCATTTTGAAAGATTACAACATTTCAAAAAGACTTTCATGAACCTTGGGGTAATGATGGACAAAGGTCATGTGATGGCAATGCCTGCAGTTCTTCTAATGACCACAAGAGGCTCCAAGAAATGTCTTTATGTCCTTTAAAACAACAGTACAGTCAGGTGTGGGACAGATAAACAAATGCATCAAAATCAACCAATAGTGTCTGAGCAAATACATACATTACAAACCAAATAGTGCAGAAAGAAAAAAAACATGTGAATGGGAACAATTGCATAAAAACATAAACCTAAACAGATAAAAAAAAATCATTTTTGCTATTTAATAACAGTGTTTTCACACATTTATTCATTCATAATAAACCATCTCACTTCAAGTCCCATTTAGTAGCTGTTCTGGAGCTTTCTAATCACAGGGGTTGTCACTTTTAACTTAGCAGTCAACATGGACCAGAAGTCCTTAAAGTGCTAGGAATGTGTGTAAATTTAAGCACCTGGGATTCAACAGCAACAGGGCCAAGTCCTTCTGCTGATGAAGATCATGTGATAGAATGAAAAGCTCCAGAACAGCCACTCAATGGACCTTGTGGTGAGATTGTTCTGTCACCTGCTGTTTCCAAGCAAAAGAATGAGTGTGTTTTACAATCCTGCGAACTGATTAACAGAGACATTAAAGTTTCTTGAGGTTGGCAATCGTCACAGGAAATACCTCGTCTGCTTTAATTGTTTTCAAAGTTAAAGGGTAAGTCTGGTATTTTTTAACCTGCACCCTATTTTCCAATGTTTTTGTGTCTCGGTGAGTTATGGGGGAACATTTTTGACACAATGTCAAGCATAATGAGTGGGCTGCATACTGTGTAAGTAAAGCTAGTAGTAAAGCCAGAAACTTTTTTGGTGTATACCCCAGACGAGCAACTCCATTGGAATGAATAGGCACCATTTTTTGCAGCCGGTTGCCTGGAAGGTAAAACACATTCAACACTCTCTCATTGTTAGACAGCAAAGTCCCCCACAATGTGCTTCTTGATTTAGTTTTTAGAGTACAAATATGTGAAATTACCAACAGGGAAATAAAAGGAGTAGCAGTAAAATTGGAGGTGATTGTGAGAAATTGTATTAATAAGAAAAAACTAAGAAGAACCTAAAGACTTCTGCATCGTCTGATGCAGATGTCTGAGCATAAATGTCAATATATTAACATAGTAATTTGAATAAATCTAATCTTCACAGTGAGCATGGAGGAATGAACCAACTGTGGTTCAGCGTCGGGACTACGATCCCAGAGACGACACCGTCATCTGTATTTGTCACAGGTCAGTATTTACAATTAAACAGTTTAATATGCTGTAGCAGCTTTGATGACATTTAGCCTAACTAAAGCTTCAATGTCATTACGCTGCATTCTGTCATGAGGGGACAGTCGGATATTAGGATGCCATGATAGAAGTTCAGTGTAGATCAGACTCTACAAGGGTATTAACTAATAGATTTTTTCATCTGATTGCTCATTTTCAGTTTTTCCATGACACAAAAACAGACATGTCTGCTGGAGGTTCTGTCTCAACTCTGTTTCAGGAAGTGTTTCATTTCTTTTATTTTGACAAAACTTAAATTATACTTAATAAGTTCATCTGGAGAAATATGATGGAATGTTGCATTACTCCCAGTCAGATGAGAAGATTGGTATATAATATATATCATGTGGCTCTGGGCAAGAGGGCAATTCCAAAAATGTGGCACTGATGGTTTAAAGGGGACCTGTTATGCTTTCTTTTATTTTCTGTCATTTATATAATGCTATGAATGATCTAATTGTTTTTTCTACCTTTTGAGACAAGCCGATGTCAGCTAGTAACAGATTTCTTTATATGGTTGTCTGGTCCAGGGTCACTACTGCAAGTGTTTACATTACATACACTGCTACATGTAAAGTAAGCAAGTGGGTATTTTTAGTTTGAATACTTCTTCAAAGTTGTTTTTGTGACCTATCTATGTACAGGGGCTGAATGGAAAAAACCTAACAGTCCAAAGCTGTCCAAGGGTTTAATATGTGTTGAGACTTTATCAGAGATTCAATTCTATGTAGTGGGATTTTATTGGATTGTATTATTTAGGTGCGTCTGATATTGTGTGTGATCCATACATAAAAACAATGACAGCACAAACACTTCCTGAACCACTGAGGCCTTGGTTGATTCTGTTATGGAAGACGAGCATCGATCGATGCTGTGATGTAACTGAACTGTTTGTGTTGCTGTTGAATGGACCCCGCGGGTGTCAGTTTGAGAGGAAGTAAACTCTCAAACCTCACGTCTCTCTATCCACGTATCAAGAAGTAAGAAACACAGCCTCTTACAGGCTGATGATGACCATGCAGTTTGGAAACTGTACAGGTTACTGAATGGACTTTGTGGACCTTCAGGTCATGAAAATTACGCAGCACGAGAACTATGTAAACTTTCAAGTCAAGTTAAAAAACAGACAGTACACCAAAAAACGGAGATATGAGGAATTCAAGTGAGTGACAGCAGCATTATGATAGTGTTTCTGTTTTCACATGCTCTATGGCCTGCCCCACAGGCAGAGACATGTAGCCAAAGACTTCCGTCACCGACATGAACTCCGAGCTCGTAATGAAAATAAAGCGTTTAACTAAACACTCCTTGGCATTAAGAAAAAAGTTGCAAGGAGTCAATCAACTTCTGCATGTCGCTGACAGAACTCTCCCTCTGTATGTCTCCGACTCCACTGGCATCACAAACAGACCGTAGAAAAACAGTAGCTTGTTACATTATAAATACTGGAATAATAAAAATATGAGGGGTGCTTGATTCACTTTCTCGTGGTGTTTCCCCTCCTGAGACTTCTGAGGTGTCTGGAACGGTAAATCAAGCGCCCCTCAGCTAGCTCGGAGATTTGAAAATGACTTTCAAACATATACTGTATGTACACAGTCAAAGCTCTGGGACAGCAAGCTAAAGTTAGTCTTTGTTCCTATTTTTTTGAATTTTTTTTTTGCTGGTGTCGTTATTGTGGTATACTGTAGTTCATCCTACTGTAGAGGCCAAAAAAACAACCAGAATCAACAGCTAGGTCGTTCTGTTTCCTCAATACACGTTCGAGTGTGTGTATTTACACATGGGGACACAGCATGAACGACTAAAGGCAAGTATCAAGGCAAAAATCACTTTATCCTGGCTGAACTTTCAAAGCACTTCCAGTCTGATTACAGCTTGTAAGACACATGTTAAAGTACAAAAAAGAGACAAACTCATCCTATATGTGCTGAGAACTCTTCCTCTTAATCTAAAGTATGTTAGTAGTGCCACACCTTGTACTCACTGCAACACTGTTTGTGACATCTTTGTATGAGCTGAAGAGTCCAGCTGTGGTTTCAGCCGCGGAGAGAAAAGGGGACATTATTTCAAAGAGGTGAGAAAATGTTTCTGAGCGTTTCATGCTACTGACAGAAGGCTGCGAAATCTGAGGGCAGAACTGTTGTCTCCCCCTCTGGCAGTGAGAGTAATTACACAAACACTACTGACGCATGCTTATGACATATTTCTGCAGGTGAGCTCACCGCATCTCACCCACCACCAGGAGTGCTCTGCAAGACTTTTTTCGACTTTAATCCTCTGAATGCAAAGTTCCTTTTTTTTTTATCTTGTATAGTATGCAATCCAAAAACGTTTCAGCTCAGTTCAGTACAGAGAGCTTTCCCTGGTGGTGGGGGCTTGAATGTAACATACGTTAATTTAGACGTCAAAGTCCCGCACTTCAGTTTTAAAGGATAATTCAGCTTTCCTACAACTTGGATATTATTTTAGAGGTTTTGGCCATTATTTCTCTGACTTATGATGAGACATTTTATACACAAAATTGTCAACACAAACCAAGAACTTAGCCAGATTATATAAAACCACTGTATTAAAAGTGACTCCGTTAAAAGTGACCCTGCAGTGGACAGCGGGGAAATAAAATTATTGAATCAATACCTATAAACATGATTTCTTCCCATGGCGCTGACATGAAAACTATTTTGTTTTTGTCTGCTGTCAGATACCCTGGTGAAGGCAGGTTAACCAGCTGCTGTCCATTCTGCTGCTGACAGACCGTTGAGTTGTTTATACACCTCGCTTACATCTCGTTTCCAGGGAGGATTCCCAGTAGCAGCCAAGTTGTAATACACCAGAATTATCCTTTAATACTAAAATACTTCTGCTGTCTTTTGTTATAACTATTAATGCAGCCCTCATCTTGACTGAATGACTTTAAAGGTAACAAGAGCTGCAAGTCTCTTCAGTACCTCCACACCTCCTAAATTCTACATCTAGAGTTGTGGGTCTTAGTTTATTAAAATTAATGGGTGATGAAGTCTTGTAAACCTTTAAGATTATATTTATCTCTCACCACTCTGAAGCTCATACAGATGTCATGTTTTGCACAATGCCAATGGTATAAACGTGTTTTTATCACCTCACCTCCTGCTGCCATGCACACTTTCATGATGATGCACTAACAAGCCACACTACTCACCATTCTCACCATGTATGGAAGCCCTAAGGTTTCAATCACACTGGAGTCTCAGTCCTGCACATGATTTATAGGAGCGCTGTGATTACATTTAGCGGTGGACGTTTGATATTGATGTCGCCCAAATGACTCTCAAAACCTACAGTTTGATTGCTGTCCAACTTTAGCTCGCTGTCCCATTGCCTCATTTTTAGACACTTTTTTTTTTCTTTTTTTTTTTTTTTGCCGGTCAGAAAGAGAAGTGCTGGGCGCATAGCTCCTCTTCTCTTAGAACGTGTTCTTTGCTTTTTCCTGCTTCCGCCGCCCTCAGGTCGGATGGTGTCGCGGCGTTGGCCTCAGGAAGGCTGAGGGAAGGAAGAGAAACAGGTGTGTTAGAATGATGAGAAGTAAGAGACAGAGAGATGCTCACACTGAACATACAGACGTGTACAATTAGATATACACACATTTTTAGTGGGCAAGCTTGGGAGCATGGTAGCTTGTCAGGCACCAACAGAAAATAGCAGAGGGAGATTCTCATGGGTGAAGTTATTGTGAGCAGTTCCAGTCAGGGAGATCCAGTGGAGGCTTGTTTAAGATGCCAAACAAGTGAAGGCTGGTGTGACGTCCACAATACATGACCTCAAAGGAACTTAGGCCCCATTTAAACCTGGTATTAACATGCATCTTGGGTGATTAAATCACAAATGGACAGCTCCAAGTCTGTCTGTTCACAACTGGCATTAGAATGCGTCCACATCCATCTTAAGTGACCACTTGGGATCAAATCTCACTTTCCCACTCTGTATGCAAATAAACATGCACATAATTTCCCTTTGAAAAGATAAAATGCATTATTGTTTTTAACTCGCAGGAGGCAGCAATGCCTCTTTGACCTTGGCATGTTGGCAAAATCAAAACAATACAGATGGGGTCTACTTTTGACATATTCCAGTCAAATGGGTCTCGGTAAGCTCAGGTTTCAGTGTAAAAACTGTGAAAAAAGCCAAGTTTTGTGTTCGCTGCACAGAAGAAATAAAGAATCTTGATGACTTCATGATCACAGCGTCCCACTATCATTCTTCACTGCAGAGTTGCTGGACGATTAAAGCTAGTTACCAGCTACTTTCCAGGCTAAGATAACTGAGTTAGCCTAAAGAAACCAGAGGAAACCCGAGGTCGGAAAGGTAATGTTCACACTCATGCTGGATTCCCACTACACAACATTTTTGTCTGTTCCAACAGTCACTATGTCATATTAGGCAATTGTGGAGTCATAAAATCGTGCCGTGACTTGGCAGACAGACATGACAGACTACACGTCGGTCCATGACCAATCATCCCTGGTTGTCTTTCACAATGTGTGTGATGTCATTGGATTATTCTTGTACAATTTTTGTTATTATTACTATTATGTCAGTCACTGTGTCTGTTCATGTGCCAGCCAAAATGTTGTTGTAGTAACGTAAAAAGTGCCACCAGATGGCAGGAGCTACATTTGAAGTACTGTACGCAAATATACAAGTCACTGAATCCTGTTTCACAATAAAACCTGTTTAGAAAATTGAGGGATTCTCTCCACCGAAGTTATAATGGGCTTTTAATTTTAAACAGATACAGGAAGTGTTGAGATGACGAAAATGTTCGAAATGACTGTGGTATTATATATTATATAAATACAATGGTGCCATGATAAGGCAACCAGTGTATTAAACTAATTAAACTAATTTCCCCCGCTCTCCTTCGGACTAAAAAGTTAGCTTTTATCATTATTATTTTTCTATGCAGATGCACTTCACAACAAAATCCCACTAGTAATTTTAAATTTAGGTTAGGTTAATTATTTCTAAATAGAGCAATTCAAGTAATGTACTGTGAATACGTGTATATATATATTCATATATTGCAATATGTATTGCAAAAAAGTAAAGATCCCAATGTCAGTTTTTTCCAATATTGTGCAGCCATAGTGTACACACATTGCACATCAAGACGCATTGAGGACACATTGGGTGAATTCACACCTGTACTTCGAGCCAACGCATGTTAACACCAGGTGTAAACAGGGCCTTCGACTGTTTTACCCCGACATACAAGGACACTTCAACACATGCACAGCAGGAGCTCGGGATCAAACCACAACCAGCAAATTTTCATCCATTCATTTTCTAAACCCAGCACACATGCGGCTCTGCTTTCCAGATAGAAACAGAGGAAAAAGCGGAGCAGACGAAAACTTACAGATTAATGACCACTTGAACTATAAATGCCCATCAGGGGACTGGTGTTGGAAATTAGCTTCAGCTTTTTACACATGTACAGTATATCAACACTGCGACTGCAGCTGTTTTTCTCTGTTCTTCTATCTTACAAATTAACAAGTGAGAAAAACTTGTGCTCTCATTTCACAATAACACTAAAACTGTAAAACAAAAGACAAAAAGCAGCACTAACAAAGTGTTTTCTCCCTTTAAAAACAGCTTTTCAGAACAAACATCCAGATTTCAAACTAACTCTTTGCTTCAGCTGGTGTGTAGTTTTTCAGCAGCAGACCTCCCGGTGTTTTCTAATCGGTGCTTGCAGCACGCAGCACTCCTTCATCTCCTCTTACACTGTGTGTCCACTGCCTTTTTACTGGGAGAACAAAAGCACAAAAGCCTTATCTTAATGGCTTCACATTTGCGTCTTGCACTTTTAAGTTACTGCAGCGCTTTTAAATCACTCATTCCTTCTTGGCGTCACTCAGAGTTTGAGTTCCCATAGAGACTGATTTGTCAGTGCAAAGTTTCAGGGTTGGCTTCTTTTTATAAGCCGCTGAGGATTGAGAATATGTTTCAAAGAAGATTCTGTGTAAGATTGTGTGATAGTTCAATGATACGAAAAGGGAAAATGAGATGTTAAAGCATAATGGATCAAAAGGAGATTTTATCTTCATTATATTCCTCTGTTGACCCTGAACTAATGAAGGAAGACTGCAGCAGTCTGTGGAATGAAGAGCTTCCCATGCAACTCTATGCACATAACAGACACAGCACTTCAACCTGGAGCTTTTTGAATTTTGAATTTTTGAAAATGGTCCAGCATTGAGTGAGACCACTTTAGCCAGCAGCTGGAAACAAGTTGCAACATAACCACTCGGGGGGTGTCATTTTACATCCACTGAAAGCCACTGACAGGCTCAGATTGTCATAATAAGCCTCTGACAACAAGTCATGAAGAATGAACCCAAGCTGATATGTAAACTCATCTTCATTCATCGACTACAAACATGACGTATCATCTGAAACATGTAAGTACCTTCATGCCCATTAGCCACCACACAATCATTACTGCTTTGCTGACAGCGTCATTAACAGGCGGCTCGCTCAGTGTGTGACATACACCAGGCCTATATTAATGAAGGTTAATTGGGGGCCTCCCACCGCCCATAGAAACGGGATCAGATTCCTTAAGGAGGCTCCAGGATAAGAGAGTAACTCAAGAATCTGAGCCAAGTCCTCAATGAGTGCACGTCTCAAGCCTGTTGTAGACGGGAGGTTCCAGACGTAAGAGCCGATTTTATTAATGAAGGTTCATTAGTATGGTTTTGTATTTCTCTGTAATGTAGCACAGTGTTAACAATGTTACTGATACTATTCTTTCTCACACCTTCAACTCAAACCATTGTGTTGCCCTGCCCAAAATATATAATTTAATAACTACATTAATATCATAAACATGCAGGCGACTATTCGACTAATGGTCCTGAATGATGACTATTGGTTGACTAGGAAAATTCTTAGTCAGGGGCAGCCCTAGTTTTGTGGGGGTTGCTTTGGTTGATTTTGAATGGTGTGTGTTTTGGATGATAAAACTACTGTTTATTTAAATGGAGTCTGGAGGGTTTGGCAATGGCAAATTCAGGCTGGTTCTGGGTACATAAAAAGGATCTTAGTCTTTAACAAAAAGGTCTATCTCTGTAGGATTCTTTCCATAAGACACTTGGAAGAACAACCTGAACCTTTCAGTGGCAAAAACAAGCACTTTTAGTATACGAGCATTAACTGTGTGAACATGCCCCAAGTGGTAACACTTCAGCCTGCCAGTTGCAGCTCCCTTGCTCAATACTGGACAAGTCTCAAAAACTGTTCCCATTCGTCATTCAGACACAAAACATTGGAAAATAGAGTCCAGGTTGAAAAAAACCAAAGTTAGCCTTGAATTACAAACGTTAATTGCCTTATTATGTGTTAGCAACGAGAAAAAATACTTGAATCATTCACATGAATTTGAGGAGACACATTTAACAGTATGCTCATAAAAAGCCTCGTTTTTGTAATATATGCACTGAACTGCCAAGGTATCATCCTCGTGGTGGCAAGTGTCTGGTGAGGAAAAGAAGATGACAAAAAGTCATGTCAAAATAATTATGTCTACTCATGTCTGTCTATGTAATGGAGAACTGGCTCTGCAAGTGGCTGCCACACTTCACAGATTATCATTCCTGAAGAGCCAAACAAGATGAACGTCACATCAGAGGTGGATAACAAGCATCTGATTTTTGATAGAAGGCCAACGTCTGCCTTTTAAGAAAATAAGCTCCTTCAGGTTCTGGGGAGAGGGGTGAGGATAGGAGGGAGGGAGACTAAGAAGTGAGGTGAGAGAAACATGCAGTGGGGGCAGCAAATATCACGTAACTCCCCTCCCTGAATCAGGTGAAGTGAAAGTGAACTGAGGGGCAGCAGTGACAGTAAGACAGAGTAGTTCTCACCTCCTAAAGCTTTGTAGGCCCTGATGCTGCACCAGGGCTTCCTGAGGATGAGGAGCATGAGGAAGAGCAAGGCTTGGCATGGGATGATGTGGAGGATGAGGAGAAGGAGGAGGAAGAGGAGGATGCTGAGGAAGAGGAGAGAGAGGAAGAGGGCTGAACAGTGGCAGGGGAGGGACCTCAGGAGGGGGGGGGGGGGAGGAGGCTCAAAGTGGCCGCCTGGTTCTACCTCCTCCCCCTCCAGTCCCTCCTCTTCCTGTCCTTCATGATGCATGGTGGGACAGCTGACAGTTCTGAGGGCTGACTGGCTGCCTGTTTTTATCTATGAAAACACTTTGACCATTTTTTTCCACCAAAATTAGGGTGTATATGCAGGTGTTTTAAACGCAGGAGAACACACGTCCTTGGAATAAATGCGGAGTGTAACCTTTCCCACTAAAGACAAAAGCCAGATTTAAGTAGGTGTCAGTGTTTTTTTGTCCAGTAGGAAAGAGGCGATAGAAAGGCAGGGTTGGGGAAGATGATGCTGTGTAAGAGGAATGAATTTAGTTTGTAGCAAATGTGTTCGGTAAATGAAATGCTGTCTCTGGGAAGGAGTTTGGCTGCGGCTCCTGGAATATAAACTGTCCCCAATCCAATGAAGAAATGGAGAGAATTGCTAAAGTTAATCTGAATTCTGGTAAGAGGGCGTCTACGACCTGGCTTCCACACAGTGGGGGAATACAACACTGTAGGTGCCAGACCAATCCTGAATGGCTTTTTTAACCCTTTGAAACCTGGATTGATATCAGTTTTCTTGTGCTGCATTCAGGTGCCTTTCACAAGTATTTAAACCTTTGAAACCGGAACAAATAGGTTTGATTTTTTTTCGAAAACATAGGAAAAAATGACAATGAGCAAGACATTGGTAAAAGCTAGAAGAAATTGATTTAAAAAAAAAAAATAGGAAAAAGAACAAATGAATGTCCAGAAAACTATATATATGGTTATTATAATTATATTTCAATTTTTACCCCTTTTTCCCAGGTCATTTCCTTTCTTCTTTTATTGCTTATCTTCAGGTCATTTTCGTGGAACTTTTTCCTTTTTTTTTTTTGCTCTTTTTGGGTAATTTCTAGTTAAGGTGCTCACTGCCTTCTTCCCATATTTTTGAAAGAAATCAAGCCAGTTTGCTCAAGCTTTAAAGGGTTAATGCAACCTGCAACCACACAAGGGCTGTCATTTCTTTTGACATTTGAAGCTTCCATCCCTTGAAACAAATTCCTCAGTGATTCATCAGATTAAACGAGTTTGTCTTTTTCTTTATGAAATCAGCTTACTTTAATGATGAAATGTAATTATGATGCTGTTAGACTGCTGCACGGCTTCCCTTTGTGTGCAGCAAGCAGGAGCGCAAACTGTACATCTATGGCCACAGATTATGTTTCCCTGGCATAAAAGGTCACTTTGACAAATGGACAGCAGAGTCAAACTATAACTGGCAACTATCAAACTTTCATCCATCTGTTCAACAGACCTGACGTGCCCAGTAACAGTCGCTAAACTATAACTGGACAATTGCTGTTCGGGGTCATCATGAGGTCAGTTACACAACATGATATGAACTTCAATATATTACAGAAAACAAACAGCAGTTTTGCAATGATAGAACATTAAAAGTAGCAATAAATTCAAAATGGTAAAAAACCTGTCGCCATAAATGGGCTTAAAAAAGAGGCTCTGCTGGCGAAGGGAGGTGTGTCGCTGCCGACCACAGACACTTTCTTAATACTACCGCTAGGAGTTGCCAAACTCAGAGATGATCCTGCACATGGGGGCTTAGAAGTGTAAAGGAGGGAACCAGGGATGTGTGTGTTATCTCCCCACAGTGAGCAGCGTGAGGAGGAGGAGGAGGAGGAGGAGGAGGAGGAGGAGGAAAGCGAGGAAGGAGAGGAGTGATGTTATGATGCTGAAATCAAGCATTATTGTTTCTGAATGACTCCCGAGATCAGACAGCAGGTATGACAGCTGTGTGCACGTAAGAAGGATGATGAGCAGCTTTGTGTGCAGAGATCAGTCTTTCATGACAAACGTCATGCGAGGCGGTGTGTAATGTTCACATGAGCAGCAGAATGGGATGATTTTGGTGCTTTGGGGGCTCGCAGTGCTCAAACAAAAAGATCAGTGCAAGGTAAGATTACATAGAGTGAAAATAATTAAACGTACCAGAAAACACAGAATAAAATCAAGCACGAGGATTACAAATATTCCTCTCTTCTCACAGTGTGTGAGCACAGCAGCTGTCCTTGTCCGTCACTGCATGGTTCTAGCTTTGCTGCGGATCAATTCCAATATAATACAGACAAATATACAATCATGACAGCGACCTTTATTACCTTCAATAATGATCAATAACCTGATTTGGCAACTGTAAACAAAGGTGGATACCAGCCAAACTGCATGCAGCAGCTGCCTGTGTGCATGTACTATTTTTATTCATGTCAAATTCTGATAAAATAATCTAAAAAAATCTAGTGCATGCATCGTGAAACACAAGTGTGGTGTTTAAGGTAGAGCAATGAGGAGCATTCAAAATAAAAACGTTACAAACCAGTGGTCACACGCAGTAGTATTTATGACACTGAGAACACAGTCCTCCCACATATTTTGTCATTTCACCTGTCTGAGAGGTTGCTGCATGAAGGCCACTCAGCTCAAAGGGGCTGATGATGTCATAAGCACCCACGTGCTCCTCTACAGCCATGCCACTCACACTGACAAGGCCGTATGAGAGCTCTCACCTTGATAAGAGGGTTGATTACTCCAACATTGGCACTGGAATTGAAGACCTTGTTGAACCCCGTCTCCCTGTTGACCAACTCCAGCTGGTAGAACTTCTTGTCGTCCTATAAAACAAGATGACGTGTTAACGTGATAATCCACCCAAGTCTTTCAAGAATCAAATTCTCATCTTCTGTACGCTTAAAATGTGGCTGCCAAATGTTTTCCGCAGTGGAAGAAAGTATCAAAATGTCCACGGGAACTTATCAAACCACTCCTGCAGCACAACCCACTACTCTCAATGTTTACAGTCATTATGTTGTAAAAAGAAAACCTAATTACATGTTTTCTTTTCCTCGTCATCACTGTTGTGATGTGAGGCATTGTGGGTTATTTCCTTGAGCAAAGTCTAAAGCGTTGAAGGGGAGGAGGGAGCACAAAAAGACAGATAGACAGCTCTTACACACGTCACATGTTATTTCTGCTGCTTGGGGTCTCTCAATGAAAACAATAGCAAAAGCAAGACAATCCCCAAAAAGGGAATGGGTTTACATGTGGTGGCCACAGACAGACTCTCTCCTTATCCTTCCTGGCTGTTTCTTCTCTAGTTTTGTGTTCTGCTAGTGTCCTTGTCACTACTGGTAGCATGAGGTGGCACCTGCAGCCCAATCAGGCTGCACAGGTAGTCCAGCTACTCCAGGATTGCACATCCATACGTGTGGTCGCAAGAAGGTTTGCTGTGTCCCCCTGCACAGGCTCAAGAGCATGGAGGAGACACCAGGAGACCAGCTGTTACACCAGGAGAGCTGGACAGGGCCGTAGAAGGGCATCAACCCAGCAGCAGGACCGATATCTGCTCCTTTTTGTGAGGAGGAACAGGAGGAGCACTGCCAGAGCCCTACAAAATGAGCTCCAGCAGGCTACTGGTGTGCATGTTTCTGACCAAACTGTCAGAAACAGACTCCATGAGGGTGACATGAGGGCCCGACGTCCTCTAGCGGGACCTGTGCTCACAGCACAGCACCATGCAGCTTCATTGGCATTCACCAGAGAACACCAGAACTGGCAGTTACACAGATGAGAGCAGGTTCACACTGAGCACATGTGACAGGTGTGAAAGAGTCTGGAGAACGTTATGCTGCCTGTGACATCATCCAGCATGACCGGTTTGGCTGTGGACCAGTGATGGTCTGGGGAGGCATATCCTGGGAGGGTCTCACAGACCTCCATGTCATAGCCAGTGGTACCTTGACTGCTGTTAGATACCAGGATGAAATCCACAGAGCGATTGTCAGACCTTACGCTGATGCAGTGGGCCCTGGGTTCCTCCTGGTGCAGCGGGCCCTGGGTTCCTCCTGGTGCAGTGGACCCTGGGTTCCTCCTGGTGCAGGACAATGCCTGGCCCCATGTGGCCATAGTGTGTAGGCAGTTCCTGGATGACAAAGGCATTGATGTCATTGACTGGCCCTCTCGTTCCCCTGACCTCAATCCAACTGAGCACCTATGGGACGTTATGTATCGGTGCATCCAACGCCTCCAAGTACCACCACAGACTGTCCAGGAGCTCACTGATGCCCTGATCCAGGTCTGGGAGGAGATCCCTCGAGATACCATCCGCTGACTCATCAGGAGCATGCCCAGACGTTGTCAGTAGTGCATAGAGGCACGTGGGGTCCATATACACTACTGAGCCACATTATGAGTTGCCGTGATAAAATTCAATTAAATTTTTTTTTCTTGATTTTTGGTGTGATTTTGAATCCAGCCCTCTGTGGGTTGATGATTTTGGTTTCTAATGACAGTTGTTTCGGCATTTTGTTCTCAACAAATGATAACACTTTACTTGAAGGTATCTACATTAAGGTGACATAACACTGTCATAACTATGACATGACACTGTCATGAACTTGTCATGAATATTATGTACATGTCATAAACGTTTATGACTGCTGTCATTAAGTGTCATTTGGTTTTGTTTGGGTTGTCAACCCACAAAGACATCTTCTGGTAATGTCACTTTGATTAATGTCAAGTTGTCATAATCAAGACAACCCAAACAATGTCAACCTGTCATTACATAAACCGCATGACAATTTATGACAGCAGTCATAAACATTTATGACATGTACATAATGTTAATGACAAGTTCATGACTATGTCACGTCATAGTTATGACAGTGTTATGTCACCCTTACGTAGATACCTTCAAGTAAAGTGTTAACCAACAAATTATATGATGTATATCAGTAAATGTTTTCAACTGGAATAAGGTGTAAGGGCGAGCATTGGAACAAGGCTTTTAACTTAAACAAATACCTGGGAAAACCTTGACAGTTTTGTGCATGAAAACTGAGACTGGAACAGTGTATTTAGTCATCGTTTTACAAAATGGTTTTAACCCTTTTAACTGGATCTCAGTGTCTTCATCATTTACACACAGACTGATAGAGACCCTGAGATGCAGTTTGCTCAGTTGCTTCACTCACTGTGCACACTGCCTCTGCTTATGAAAACAATGAGATGTGGAGGAATCTGTCAAACTGCTTTTCCCAAGTTAAAAAATGAACTTTTAAACTTAAACATTCTGCCATATTGTGGTGAAATCCTGCAGTCAACTGGAGACATTATTCACTCTGTACATAGCAGAGGGTTTCCTCTATCTTTACAGAGTGGTGAGTGTTTCCCCGCAAAAACATCTTTGATGACACTGATACTGCAGTGCACATTTACCGGAATTACTTTGTCTGCTCCGGATGATAAAATCCAGCAACAGCTGTGATGTCGGCCAGCGATATCTGTGACTGCAGTTTAAAAACATTTACCTGATTTGAGTGTTTTCGGAAATGACTTTAAGTACATCAGAGACCACCCAGTCTACTCACCACAAGCTTTTTCACCAGAGCTTCTCTCTCGGTGACCATCTCTCTGAGCTCTGCTATGACGTGCAGGTCCTCTGGCCGGCTTTCTCTGTTTCTTAACTTCTCCTCTGTCCCCTCCAACCTGGACACACAGACACGACAGACATTTTTTTAAAAAACTGTAATAGTAATAACATATTACATGTAAAATTATTTTTATAAAATAGACAAAGAAAGAAAGAAACAGACATTTGAAAGCAATGACTTTGACAAAAGAGACAACTGTGAGTCTCTGTTAACACTGTTAAACAGTGGCAGCCCAAAGCAGCAACACAACAGACTTTCATCACACATTTCTGCAACTTACAGTATTTGTAGCGCAGTGATCTTGTCTTTGAGGACCTCCTGGGCCTTGTTGAAGTCAGCCAGCATGATTTGTGTTTCTCTGTGATGGACTATACTTATCTCCCCCAGATCCCTCTCATGTCTCTTTGAAAGGTCCTGTTCGTGGGCCCTGCAGCACAGACAGGCATACATAAACCATGAGGCAACATTAGGTCATGTTATCTGTGTGGGATCCTTAAGTGCTGGGGAATATCACAACTTCACATATTAATAGTAATCACTGGTGTGTGTATTTTCACTGCACATCCTGGATAATGCTCACAAACACACTTAATTCCCTGGTACAGAGTGATGAGATTGACGCCTAATTCTTAATAAATTATAGAGGAAGACGACAAGATGTGCAGCTGCACACGTACTCAGCTGGGACCCAGAGAGCAGAGCTGGAACAAGGAATGTGGGGTGTCTTGTCATGATTAAATGAAATGGTATCCATGGCTACTGTGGGAGGAAGTAATGGAGAGGGTGCTGCTGTCACATATGGGAACTGAGTAGAATCAAGTTTCATCTAAGAAAACAATGCTGATCTGAGTAGCACAGGCTGCTATAATTTTAGTTGACTAAAAGTCTGGGTATTTTCGGCGTACTTTCGTCAAATAAAACCAAAGCTATTTTAGTTGTAGTCAGTGTAACCTGTTACCTGTAATCTTTTTTTCTTGTCATTAGATTATCTTGGACATTTCAGTCAATCTAGTTGAGCCAAAACCAATAATTTTGTCATTTTCGTCAAACTTATTTCAGATAAGATTTATCTTGTCATTATCTGATGAGACACACAAGTTGAATCATTAAGAATGCAGCTTTGCAGAAAGTGTCTCGTCTCATTGTTTGATGGTATCAATTATAGGAATACATGCAGACAGGGAACATGTTCTGATTTGCATTTTTATTTTGAGCGAACATAATTCAACAACTGGACTGGGACCCAAAACTGTCTTTAAAACTACTGGAAGTCTACTGGAACTCCTGGAAATAAGACTCAACAATCAACTGTCTTTCTCCAGAACTGAACCTTCATGTAAGGAAGTTACTTGGAGTCCATCTGACTGTTGTTATTGTGTGCTGCAGGTATGTTGCATATTTCATCTTGTCTTTTTTCATCAACAATATTGCTTGTTGATAGTACAGTTAGTGTTGAGTGTTTAATCTGCCCCACCGGCTTGTATTATAGATATTGGCCTTCTTAATTACCAGAGAGCAGAGGGTTTCTGTAGATGGCTGACCCTCAGACTCTAGTTTTATCCAACGGCTCACCACAGGGATGTGTTCTTTCACCATTATTTTTTATAATGAATGCAGGAGCACCCAGCAGGGCAGCTGATAGATACCGCATTGCTGTCTCTTGTCCAGGGATCAGAATCAGACCATGGGAATGCTCTTTTGGGTTTTATTTCTTGGTGTGATAATACTTTCTTGGACTTAAACGTATCTAAAACTAAGGAGTGGATTATTGATTTTAGACGTAACAGAGACACAGCCAAAGAAAGCATTATTCACATTGAAACTGTGAAAAGGGTGATCTCTTACAAATATTTAGGTTCCTTTTTTGATAAACATCTTAAATTTGATGCAGATACTGTGAAGCGAAGGCAACAGAGAATTCACCTTCTCATCCTCTGCCTTTTTTTGATCAGTCCTGTGTTTTTCATTTATCTGCTGGTTTCATAGCCTCACACTGAAAGACAGAGTCTAAACAGCATTGTTAAAATCTGCTCTAAGATCACAGGAGTGACACACTAGGACTTTTTTTTTTTTTCATTTTTATTTTCTGATTTAGCTTCTAAAACTAACAAGTATTCAATATCTTTTATTCCCTCTGCTATTCGTCTTTTAAATTCTCTGTAAAAAAAAATGTCTGTTTGTTTTTTAATCTCTTTTATGGATAATCAGTCTATTAACTTTTTTTCATTTATTGATTCCTTTAAACCACTTAACTCTGTACTGTATGTTAATTTATAGTATGTGTGCAAGGTAAGCTGTTCAAACACATTGCCCCTGGTGGGACTAATGACATTTTTTGGATTCTGGATTCTGGACGTCCCTGCCATCTCATCTTAGTCATGGAAAAAAAGGTCACTGACAAACACATTTGTTAAAAGTCTGTTCTGTTAAAACACTGTTACCAAGTGACCAAAATACAGACCAAGTGGGATGCTTTACAGTGTAAAAATTAACTTGTCAGTGCTCTCTGGTTGACAAACCATGTAACAGTGACACTCGTTATTGTTGAATTACATCATAAGAAGTGCAGCATTGAGTGTTTTGGGGGCTTGACCCATACAAGGGAGCAGAGGTCAGGATATCTGTGTTGATATCTGTTTCTTGCAAGTCCCCCAGCTCTGTGGAAGTGCATTTATATCACTGGAGAACCACTGGAAAAGCATGAAATCTAAGTACAAAACTTTCACTGTGTGTTATTGGAACACATATGCATGTTGTGGTCAAATTAAAGTGGGAGAAAGAAAGACAACGTTTTAACTCCCCCTGAACTTGTATTGACACTCTTTGGTAACTGGGGATAGCTCTCGATAGCTACCAAGGGAAAACAAATGCGCTATCCTCTTCTTGTTTTGGTTGTGCAGTAGTGAATAGTGAAAATGAGGCTTATAGGGAACCAATCTAGATGCAAATGGTGTCATTATTCGATAGCTATTACATTGTGCAATCAAAATTCACTCCTTAATGAAAAGTTAGAACAAAAGTTTTGTCTATTTTCACTTCAAATGGTCACAACTCAGCTCCCAAAATGACCACTCAGAGGTGCTGTACCTACTGTGTCTTGTTTGTTCAAAGTCACAAAGTCTAAACTCATCATCACATCAGAAACATGTCATGACATAGATGAGTTTCAAAGCAAGAACACTTCCCAAGATGATGCTTTTGATTATAAACTGTTTAGATGGATATTCCCAAATGACAAGAGTGCAGGATTAATCGTCTGAAAACTGGGTCAGTCACAGTTTAGTTCTGCTCCCTTCGATAAAATACAACACATATTGACTTCCAACTATCTGCTGAATGGTGTTATGTACCTTATCTGATGGTTAGCTTCACTGCGGACCCGCAGCACCTCTTTACCCTTTATCTCCAGCTCTCTGGTCAGAGTGTCGATGGTCTCGTTCAGAGAGTGGATCTCATGGTCCAGATCAGTGATGCGGTTGTTACGAGAGCACAGCTCCGCTTGCAGGTCTGAAATACGACCCAGGAGCTCTTGTTCCTAGACAAAATACATGAGCATTGTTCAAATTAACAGAGAAAAGTAAAGAGAATAAGTTGGGAGATCTTAACTAGGTCACACATAAACACAAGAAAAGAACAAAGAAGAAAGCAGACGATACAAAGTAAAGTAGAGACACAGTTACCTGCTGGTGGCTGTGCTCCATCGCTTTCTCTAACTCTCGTTTGGCGTTAGTGTTTTCTTTGAGGTGGATCTGCTTTAGATGCTCTATGGAGGCAGCGTGGAGGTGGTTCAGCTCTGCACGGAGAGACGCTGCCAGACAGAGACACCAGAGTTTAAGAGAGATATTTAAACATGGGGTAAAAACGTCAAGCAACATCTCAGCATCATGGGTAGAAACATTAACAGGGCTCACAGCTATTGGTCAACTGGTCGATTAGTTGGGCGAAATGCTGTTGTCCGACCAAATTTTCTTTGGTCGAGACAGATGAGAGTAAGATTAAATATGACAGTTTGTGCAAGTGTTACCACTGAGAGCAGATCATAGATGTACTGTATATTTTCTTGTGAATCCTTTTCCAACAAAAGTAGAGCTTTTCATCATCTCCTTTTAAACTTACTTTTTCTTTTATTTAATCTCAAGGTCACCTTAATAAGAGAGGCAATTATTTTCTATTGCAGACTGTCTCTTTATGTCAGATATTTTAACATGACATTCAGTTTTGATTACTTGTATCCTCAGTGCAATTAAATGCAGGGAAGCCTTTTAACGACGTGACACAAAAAGTAGCGGGTAAAAGTTTTGTCTTATACCTAGTGTCATTATCCTGTCACTGATTATTATTCTTATTCTTAAATGCAATTTGCTGATTTAGTCCCATTATCACACAGTTTCTCTCACAGTCTTTTAGAATCTAAACATCTTGCAGAGGTTTGCATCGCCGCTTTGATCACGGATGGTTGTGTTTCCTTCTATTCTTTTAATAGTCAAGAGATGCAGAATGAGGTGGAATTTTTGTCATCATGACAGGAATAAGCATCAACACAGCAGGTAGCAACATCATCACCATGGGTAGAGACATCTTCTCTGGGGGTAGAGAAGTCATTGCTGTAGTTTAAAACCATGCCGTTTATATGTATTATCATTTACCCAGCTTTGCTTTCCCCTCGTCTTCCAGCTCAAATCGCAGCGTCTGCAGCTCCTGGTCCGACTGCTGTCTCAGGATGTCTAAGGTCCTCCTGTGGGCCTCCTTCAGAGCATGGACCTCCTCCCTCTGCTCCTGCTTCAGACGCTCTTCCAGAGCCTGGCAGGGGGCAGGGAAGAGAAGGAGGAGGGAGAAAGGGAGGAGAGGATTTAACCAGTTACATCAAAAATACATTTTTCCATGTGGTGACACAGTTATGAGAACCCAAAGGATGCTCTGACATATAATATTTGAGGAATAAGCGCTCGCTGAAAGAAAGAGCTGCATTTATGAAGACATGTTGTTTTAGAAAATTAAACCCAGAAGACAAAACAGGGAGAAAGAATGAACACTGCAGCTGTGTCCCAATTCCATACTAATTCCCATCAGGTTTTGAGTATGTAGTGTTTCATTAATGAAAAAAATTAATCACACTCAAAACAGTCAGTATGAAGACTTAATCCGCTTCATTATGGAGTGTGCTGTTGGACACTGTTTGTCCCACAATGCACTGCGTAACAGAGACAGAGCTCACAGCTACAAAACATTGGAGCAAATGGTGGAGTGTGGAGAGACAGCTCCGCCAAGTAATACTGAGAAGAATAAGCCATTGTCATCACAATATTCTGCTTTCTCTTTGTAAAGTTTAATTGGCAGTGTCATTCAAATGTAGCGTTTTACCTTGGCTCACCATTTTCATTCGGATGAGGCTATAATTATGATTATTCATGGAATATTCAGGTCCATGTGAAAACACTTATTGGTAATGTGCATTGATTTCCTGCAGGAAATTGATATAAAAATCGATATGAAGAACTGAGTTGGGTTTGTGAAAAGGATAAGGTAATTGTAGCCACTTCTTCTATGGAAAACAATTGTTTGGTTGCTAACTCTCTGGTGACAGAGAATCTTTAAATTTCTAAAAGTTCTTCAGTAAAAAGGGTCATTAGTCGTATAAATTATATGCAAAATATATGTAAATTATATATGCTAAAGCCTACTCCCACTGTGCACCCTTCATGAACCATATCATCAGTGGTGTAATGTTGAGGAAAAAGAGAAGCATCATTAATGCTTTTTGTCTGTGAAAAGGGAGCCTAGTCTCACTCCCACGGCATCAAAATATGCCACTTAGGCAGTGTCATCTACGACACTAGTCTGTGTGAAATGCACCAGGCTTTCCACCAACTCCAGTAAACCTATCTGTGTCATTATTAGACGCACAGAGCGACGGACGTAGTTTAAAGAGTGTGAAAGTTTACTCAAGGTGGGTGGGTTCACGAACACCGGACTTTGACCCGAGGAGACCAGCGTTTGAGACCAAGCAACAACATCTGTGATCATTTCCTAAGCATAACCAAGTAGTTTTGTTGCCTAAACCTAACTGCCAACCTCTTCCAGGGATGAGATCACATTGGGAAAGAATGCACAAATAGTTTTTGGGAGATCAGCCTAAATTAGGGCTGCAACTAATTAATATTTTCATTGTCATTTAGTCTGACAATTAGTTCCTCCAATAATGAATTTTGGACAATGTTTCCCAAAGCCCAAAATGACGCTCGAAAAATGTCCTGTTTTGTTTACTGTCACAGAGGAGCAAAGAAACCAGAAAATATTTACATTTAAGAAGCTGGAATCAACAAATTTGGATTGTTTTATCTTCTAAAAATACTCAAACTGATTAATTTATTATTGAATTAGTTGCAGGTTATTTAAACAGTTGACAACTAATCGATTAATTGTTGCAGCTTTAGCGTCGTTCTGCAAAAACCTGCCTTACTTTGTTTAGCAGGCATAAAATGACACCTACTAAACATCCTCCTTTATTTCCATAAGGGTGCATTATGGGATCCATGACCTTAAGCAGGAGGAACTGAAACAACATTAAAAGGTACCTGACACTTCCCCTCATAGACAGAGTGCTACAATCATTTTGTTCAATGGGGCAGTACAAAAAATCATCCAATGTTTCTGCCTGCAGTGTAATTATATGGGAGCTTCAACCATAAAGTCAACAATAAGCTATTACCACCCTGGCTCATTTTCAATATCACTGAGGAAGGAAATGAGTGAAATTAAAGTAGATGAACCTAATGAATAGTTTCACAGAGTCGGAGCTTTCTCAGCTTATTTAATTGCTTTATGAATCTTTAACCTCCAATTTACTCTGCAGCAGGAGGAGAAGGATCGTTAAATTAAAACTAATGCTAACAGAACAACTGAAACACGTCTGTGTATTGTGTTGGTAGTTTGTAGAGCATCACTCACAGAGTCTTACAACCGATACTTCTCTCCTACACACACACATAAAGTAATAATCAGTGTGCTACAGACTAAATTGAAAAAGGAGTCCAAATTGCAACACTGACTACTGCACTTTCCAAACTGTAAGAGGCGATCACTTCCTCTCAGGAGGGAACGACTTCAGGATAATGCTGTGGGTGGAGAGTCCCAGGACAACAAATCAAGTTACATGTCAGAGAGAATCTTCAGTGCTCATACTGAGGATCTCAGCTCGCACCAGAAACACTATTTTGGGGGCTTTTGCTGATCACAGACGGCAGGTGAAAACAGTGAAAAAATAGGTACAGCAGCAGCAGCAGCAGCAGCAGCACATTTTTGTTCTGAAAAGCACATTTTCACAGGTGTACAGGCACATATATATATATATATATATATATATATATATATATATATATGTACACACATACATGTGAGTGCATTCTGAGCTAATTCTGCCTGAACTTTAAGGAATACTTCACCCCATGAATGACAACATATATGTATATTTATTACTTATCCCTTGTTATGTTGATTTCCTGAAATTAAAAATGTTTTTCTCGCATGCTTCCACACTAAATGAAGAATCCAAAAACTGAGAAAATTCTTGATAAATTGAGTAATTCCATTGACTCCATTGACAAAAACAGTAATTTACCTCGCTGAACACCGGAGGTGCTGGTCCACTACTGCTTTAATCATTTAGTTTGTTTGTGTTATTTTGTGACTTTGGTGTTTTAAAGGGTTAGTTTGGATTCAGCAAAGTCACACAATAACACAAACAAACTAACTGATAAGGCAGAAGTAGACCAGCAGCTCCTGTGTTGTGTGTTGAGGCAGAATTACTGTTTTTGTCAATGGAGTCTGGCTTTGAAGAGAAGTTTCACTTTCCGTTCTGTTCCTGTCAGAAAAAGCTGTCTCTCTGTTTGGGAGGTACTGAGCATATGAGGATAAAGAAGACTAAAGCCCAGTTCAGATCAAAGATTCGCTACGAGACGACAAGTACGACAAAACAGGCAACTACTTGAGATGTCCCATTCTGCAACTTTCTAAAAACCTGCAGGTTCACAGCGATGAGACTAGATGAGACGGTGTATCATCTCTCTGCCACTACTTCTGTTCTGATTTCCAGCTTTTCAGGTTTATTCTGTGGCTGAATATAATTTGTAGCTTCTTAAAATATGAATGAGGACAGTGATAGTGAGATACTGGCTACAGTTACATTTGTAGTAGTGATGAAATGGCGAAAAACAGAAACAAAACAAGTATCAGATGGACTGTATTCATGTTAATGTGCCAATTAATCAGTCAATGAGGATGTGTGTGTGAGGGGCACAAGCATATACAGTGAGCAGTAGCAGCGACCCACCGTCTGACACCGGCTCACCCTGAGGACGGAAATAGAGGGCTTGGCGGGGATGGAATGCCTGCCGCAGCAAGCAAACACGGTGTCTATTGTCATTTAGACATGACCAGAGGACTTCAGTATAGGGGGATTGGCTGTTGAAACAGGTGATGTGCTTTACATGCTAAAACCAGACGCTGGCGATTTGACTAGCAGAGTTGCAGGTGACACCATCAGCCGGCTTGAGTCGAGCTCTGACCGATCAGTTCACACCTGCAACTTTTCTCTGCAATGTTCTAAAATGGATTTGTCTCATTGCGAATCATTGGTCTGAAGTAGGCTTTAGATTATGCTGCATGAGTTGTGTGAGAGTTTGTTAACAGATATTTTAATGTAGTTTCACTGTTGTTAAACGGGGACCCTTATGACTTCAGCTTTTGACGAATGAATGTTGAATGTTTTTGGATTCACCGTGGAGGCATGCGTGCAAAGCAAAGTTTTTGTCACAAATTCAACATAACAAGGGGTGAGTAACTGATATACAAATGTTTATTTGGGGGGTATTCCTTTAAGGTGCCAGAACTTCAGCCAGTAGCGATGGTGGTTCCACCGTGCTGGGTCAAACGCGTATTTTGATTGTGGCATCTGATTTTGATTCAGTTTTATTCAAGGACTGTAGTAAACATGCCCAATCCCAAGTAAAAGATTGCACATATATTTACATTCATGCATGATGTGTGTGTGTGTGTGTGTGTGTGTGTGTGTGTGTGTGTGTGACTCCTACCCTTATCTGGTGTTGTCTGGCCTCCTCCATGGTGCTCAGGGCACAGCAGTGAGCCTCCTGTAATCGATGCTCTCTCCTCTGATGTTCTCTCTGCATCTCTGCAAACACGCACACAAGCATCGACATGAAATCCTCAGTCTTGTACAAACACAAAAATGCTGAAACTTGAGTGATGCATTTTTATTCCAACCCATCCTTAATTTTCTATTTAATTGCAAGACATCATCGTTTTCCATCATGCTGGAGCAACCATGACCTGATCTCGTGCCGCGTGCACGTTGCAGCTGTGGGAGAATAATCAGTGATCAGGGAGTCTTTTATCGTTCATATTAAACTGCTAACAGTAGCGATAAATATTATCAAATGTGCAGTGTGAAAAATGAAAATTTCATGGAGGAAAGCGTCATATAGACCAGCTCACCTTTCAGCTGTTGGCTCAGCAGTTCCCTCTCCTGGTTGAACTGAGACTGCAGCTGCTGGAGTGACGCCTGGGACTGAGACAACTGCAGCTCCAGGGACTGTTTCAACAGAGAGATCTGGACAGAGAAGACAAATACCAAGAGAAGCAGATATAATTAGTGGCCGTTTATACTGAAGGGCAAAGCAGTCATTGACCGTATGTAAAGAAATGGACGGAGGGACTGTAAAAGAAAATGTGGACAGGTCAGTTTGGCCCTGCACTGAGGATAAAAACAGTAATTACTGGCTTTCTTTCTGTGCAGCAATGTCACATTAAATGTCTTCTTTAGAGCAAAAATCCTTGGACATTTGAGAAACATATATCTCCAGGAAATGAACATCTTGCTCAACTTACTGCAAACATTTAATTAGGTCAACATTAAAACTATCTTTGCTTTTTCTTTGTGTTTCCTCCTGAGTCGTGTCGTCTTTAATCCTTGTATAAAGTTTTGACTTTAGTCGAGATCTTTTTGACAAGTACTTACTGGTGGTGGTATCGACACATGGATATAAGCCAAACACAGAGCTGTGGTTGGAGATTAGGCCGACAGCTTGTCAGACATCGAGCGACAGCACACACAACCAAAGGACATAAAGCCAACTAGCATAAGCCCCATCACAGCACACAAAAAACCGTTTTGTTTTGAGGAGATATTGGAACTATTAGGGGCCAGACTGACGACTCTGGCCCCTCCGCACGCCACTCTTACTCAAGCTCCGGCTGTTAAATCCCCGGCGGGATTTAGTGCTGTAGAAGTACTACATTAGTGGCTGCAAGGTAAGATGGATTTAAAATGAGAGGATGAGGAGCAGGGCTGGAATGAAGTTTATGGGGTTCAACAGTGGATATGGATTTAAAAAGACTGAGGGATGACCTCTACGGTATATCCTCACATCCTGTGTCCGCTACATGTCTGTTTAAATGGATCATTTTTACACCGACAGAAAAATAACTGGACACACAGGACTAACAAAGTGGGAATACCTTAAACAACCTGCGGTGCCTGTCTCTAACCTTGATGTTTTAATTAAACACACTCTTGTGTCGACACATGCACACAAAGCAGCCTGGGGCTACAACCCGGTAATGAAAACATCTTAATGAAAGAGTAGTCATTATAGATAAGGATTGCACACACACACTCACCCACACACACATATACAACACACTTCTTAGTGGGGCTTTAATATATTCAGTAAATAATTTCCCTTCCTCTGAAACTGTATGTGAGGTTGTCTATCAAATGCAAGAGGCTGATGTGTGGTTTGATCCGGTAATGACAGACACAGGAGTCCTAATTGTAAATGGTCTCCTGTGTGTGTGATCCCGATAGTGAAACAAGTAATTTGGTCAAAAAAAGTATCCACTGATTCACAGACGTCTCTTTTACAATGTCAGTTTGTGAGAAAAAGTCTTTTTGGGCCCAGTGGCATCAAGTGACAAACCCGGTCCATGGTATGAGCCTGGCTCTGTTCCTGGGGGCCTGGTATTTTCTTAATTTCCTCTTATTTTGCTGTGTTTGGGATGTTAGTGGGTGTATAGCCTCCAGCCAATGCCAGCGCAAAAGTGTGGTCAGGACTCATAAGTGCTATATCGTAGGCAGCTGGACTTGCTTGCGTTTCTTGAAGATGTTTCGCCTCTCATCCAAGTCTTCAAGACACGCAAGCAAATCCAGTTGCCTACGATATAGCACTTATGATTGCCATGACCTGGATGACTGAGAGTCTTCACCGACATGTGGTCAGGACTTAACAAAAACGTAGCCACCAGGTAGCAGCACGTTTAGTTTGCAGTGTAAGTACAAGCAGTGTAGGGAGGAGAGGCAGACGTGAGGAATGTATAATAACAGACAACAGGTAAAAAGAAAAAAATCTGCTGTACAAAAATGCCTCTAAAAATGATTATATTACAGCTGATAACTCGTCCATCACAGCAGAAACTTCCTGTTGTCACTTTGGCAGCTGTTAGTCTCAATCATGGATCGTATGTGAACAGAAACAGAGCTGCTCAACGCTTTAAATGTGAAGTGTCGGAGCGTATCTGAGGGGAGTGTGAGTCTCTGAGCCTCCAGTGCTGCTGGTGTTTCGCTGGAGCTGAAAGTAGGTCAATACATGGCAGAACACTTCAGTTCTACCTGAGTCCATTTGTCTTCACAACAGCCTTTTCCTGGACAGTCTCATCTATGGGAACATTTATATCATGCACATGGATGCATGCCAGTATTGAGGTATGCATGAGGTATATGCATAAGGTATGATGTGGCTATACCTGAGAAAGACTCTTTTATTATCTACTGTCCTTCGAGTTTGAGATAAAACCATGAAAAATGTTTTCCCAGCTGATGTCTCATGTTAATGTTGCCTTCACAGGAATAGTTTAACATTTTGGAGAACATGTTTTTTCTCTTTCTTGTCGTGACTTTGATGAAAATGATGTGTGTGGTATCAAACCAAGTATACACAGTGATTCTCTCTATAGCACACACTAATACACACAGGACTCAGAGGGCTGTGTCTTCATGCAGCGAAAATTACAAAAGGAGTAAAAATTTAAAAAGCACAATTCACCGAAGCCCTTTGATGAGAGGAAACACACACGCAGAGATCACAGACGCAGACAAACACACAGACATGTATGCACACACAGTGTAAGCTCCTTAGGTATTTGGTCTGTGACATTGTTTGATGTTTATTTTCAGCCACTCTGCGTGATCAGTTTAAAACGCAGCATGTTTAGTTACCAAAACTGATATAAGAAATTCAGATAGCGCTCACTACACAAGCCTTTATGAAATTATTTTTTAGTGCCACCTCCTCCTCCTCCTCCTCCTCCTCCTCCCTGTCCTGGCTAAAGCTTAAATAACCTTCTGAATTTCCTTTTTTAATGTGATAGTAAATCTATAATGTGGGGGTTTTGAACTGTTGGCACTGGGAAACTACAGGGGGAATTATTTTTTTAATTTCTGACATTTTGCAGACCAAATGATTAATCAGCTAATTAAGCCATTAATCTGCAGATAAATTGCTGTCCAACACTGCGGCCAGATCGGTGGTCCATCACAGAGCAGCACAGATACATGGACTTTGCCTCAAAACCAAAGAGGCAAGTAATTTTAGGGATGCACAGAGTGATAAATTCTGGGCCAGTAACAATATTTACAGTCAGGTCCATAATTATTTGGACAATGATACAGTTGTCATCATTTTGGCTCTGTACACCACCACAATGGGTTTTAAATGAAACAATGAATACCTGCTTAAAGTGCAGACTCTCAGCTTTCATTTAAGGCTTTTTTCAAAAATGTAGTATGAACCGTGTAGGAATTACAACCATTTCTTCACACAGTCCCCCGACTTTAAGGGCTCATAAGTATTTGGACAAACTAACATAATCATCAATTAAACAGTCAGTTTTAATACTTGGTTGCAAATCCTTTACAGTCAATGACTGCCTGAAGTGTTGGACACATAGGCATCATCAGATGCTGGGTTTCTTCCCTGGTGATGCTCTGCCAGCCCTTTACTGCAGCCGTCTGCACTTCCTGCTTGTGTTTTGGGTGTTTTGCCCTCAGTTTTGGCTTCAGCAAGAGAAACGCATGCTCAGTTGGATTCAGGTCAGATGATATGACTTGGCCATTGCAGAACATTCCACTTCTTTGCCTTAAAAATGTCTTTGGTTGCTTTTGCAGTATGCTTCAGGTCAATGTCCATCTGCACTGTGAAGCATCGTCCAATGAGTTTTGAAGCATTTGGTTGAATCTGAGCAGATAATGGTGCCCCAAACACTTCAGCTTTCATCCTGCTGCTCTTGTAAGCAAGACAAGACTTCACTAGAATAAATACAGAGGGTTTATCACAAGATGCAAACCATTGGTTAGCCTTAAAAATGGAAGGCCAGATTAGAGTTTGTCAAAAACCATCTAAAAAGCCTGTACAGTTGTGGAACAGCATACTATGGACAGATAAAACAAAGATCAACTACCAGAATGATGGGAAGACAAGAGAAGGAAGAAGGGAAGGAACTGCTCATGATCCAAAGCACACCACCTCATCAGTGAAGCATGGTGGAGGTACTGTTATGTCATGGCCATGTATGGCTGCCAGTGGAACTGGTTCTCTTGTATTTATTGATGATGTGACTGCTGACAAGAGCAGCAGGATGAAAGCTGAAGTGTTTGGGGCACCATTATCTGCTCAGATTCAACCAAATGCTTCAAAACTCATTGGACGATGCTTCACAGTGCAGATGGACATTGACCTGAAGCATACTGCAAAAGCAACCAAAGACATTTTTAAGGCAAAGAAGTGGAATGTTCTGCAATGGCCAAGTCATATCATCTGACCTGAATCCAACTGAGCATGCGTTTCTCTTGCTGAAGCCAAAACTGAGGGCAAAACACCCAAAACACAAGCAGGAAGTGCAGACGGCTGCAGTAAAGGGCTGGCAGAGCATCACCAGGGAAGAAACCCAGCATCTGATGATGCCTATGTGTCCAACACTTGAGGCAGTCATTGACTGTAAAGGATTTGCAACCAAGTATTAAAACTGACTGTTTAATTGATGATTATGTTAGTTTGTCCAAATACTTATGAGCCCTTAAAGTCGGGGGACTGTGTGAAGAAATGCTTGTCATTCCTACACGGTTCATACCACATTTTTGAAAAAAGCCTTAAATGAAAGCTGAGAGTCTGCACTTTAAGCAGGTATTCACTGTTTCATTTAAAACCCACTGTGGTGGTGTACAGAGCCAAAATGATGACAACTGTATCATTGTCCAAATAATTATGGACCTGACTGTATGTTTAAAATAAAAAAAATTGGACAATTTTGATACTGATTGACATTAATTTTTTTTACTTGCCGATAGGTAAACGTACTTATGGAAAAGTATACGTCAAATAAATTTTTCCCAAAGATGGTTTCTTTCATTTAAGGTAGTTTTTATCACGCTACTACACTACTGCACCTACTGCACAGACTCTGGCTCCAAATGACATCACCTAAGCAAGATGGCAGCAAAAATATCCCGGATAATTTGGCTCCACTTCTGTAGAGTCGGGGTAAGTGGAGACATGTCCTCCATCTTTATATACATTCTGTGGCTGTATATGACATTGTCGACATCAGAGTTAACGTCTATAGTGTCCAGTATGTCAGATGTTTCTGTCAGTTTGCTGATAGGCAGGGTAGTCAACAAGGCAAATATCAGCCAACACCGATAATCTTCCTTAAATAATAATTTTCAACTTGGCCAAAACCAATAATGTTTCTCTTGTCTGACTTTGTGTCAAACAACAAACATGATGATTTCCTTCAAAGTTTCCTTTAGTTTCGTGGCGTTTTGCTTTGAGCTTCGTCTCTTACGTATCTGGGCGTTGAGGGTGTCTGAAAAGTTGTCAAGCTGGCATTGGTGGTTGCTGCCTCCAGCCTGTCAGAAACTGTTTATCTGAGGCCACTGGCGTCTTGGCAAAATGAGGACGAGCCTCTTTCAGGTTTCAGCTGTGACTCAGCTGAGCTCTGAATTACCCAGAGGCAGTATGCTCAGCGCGGACGGGTCCATGAGTATAAGTAGACAAGCTTCTGAGCTTTAAACCCAAACTCAAATGGCTCTCTGTTGCGACTGAGCTTTAATTCTAATTTCCACTTTCACTCCCATCAGAAAAATTCTCCAGTGTTTGTAGCTATGAGGAGAACTTGACTCCTTACTTCAAACACATGTTGCGCATACACACTCTTCAGATCTGCGTCTTCAGTGTGTGTATGCATGAAGTGCCTATGTACGTGTATGTACAGCTGTGTGTACGAGGAGAGACACAGGCTTTGGGGAAAAACTCATTAAAAAAACAAAAGCTGTGTTTTGCATTCTGCATCACTCTGTGGGCGAAGAAGAGAGAAATTGGACCAAAATAGCACAGGAAGCGAAGTTAAATCCTTTAGTCTTTTCAGGTCGATTTATTGTTGTTGTGGGAATTATGTGAATTGTAAAGCAGGTGAAGTGGTTGTTTATGGCATTGCTGTAAATCACGTTCACAGACACAGTCAGAAGCAGCAAAGCCTGTGAGAGCGTGTGTGTGTGTGTGTGTGTGTGTGTGTGTGAGATGGAGTTGTATCTCTCCTCGGACAGAGACATTTTGTGCTCCAGGCCGTCTCCAGGCCTTAACGAGCGGAGCTGTCCATCAAAGTGACTCCCAAAGTGGGTGCAGGGGGAAAGGTCAGGGTTGTGGATGTCCCCGTTTCGATCAAAGCAAGGGGCGAATCAGATTTAAACTGAATGTTTTGTGGCCCAAAATATATTTTCTTATTAGTGTTGGTATGAGCCACACTTTGCCACAGAGCAGTGGGTTACATCCCTTACAGTATGTAGTTCATTTTTGTGTATTCGTTGACACTTATGATCCAGTTGTCCTTTGATGCCTGCAGCCACTTCTGTGTGATGGCTTTCTCTACCCAAAAGTACTTTATAAAGATATTCATCCTGGGCCGTGAGCCCGTCTGGATTATGCCCAGGTATAATGTCACAAAAGAGCAATCAAATTCTATTGTAAAATTGATTTTTATTTCTTTCTTTGGCGATCTCATGCCAATATGAATGGATCTGAGGGCAGCCTCAAAATGTATGAAAGTGGGCTGCTATTGATTTACCACACTGCCTCCAGCTTTCATCCTGTCCCTGAGAACCCTGCTGTATAAATTTCAATTTCAGAGTCGCAAAATATCGCATTATGTTGGCAGTCCGAGCCTGACCCTCCCAAATATCATCCGGGTGTGTATATATGTTCTCAGGGTCATGCTGTACGTCCCCAAGTTCAATATTCTGTTAGCTCACATTAACCCTCCTATAAAACCCCAACATCACAAATATTAAAAGGCCCACATACAACAACCAGTTTTAGTGATAATATTCTTTACAGTTTTACCTTTCCATTAGACAGCCTTCTCCAACAGGGAGCTGAAGCCGTTATCTCAAAGCCACCAGAGTCCACTGACAGAAACAGCCATTTGCTGGTCTACGGCTGCCTCGATCAGTTAGTGTGTGAGGTAAAGCAGTGAAAGTGTTCCACACATAGCGTACACTTAAACTGATATTGTTTAGGTTTCGTGGGTTGTTTTGGCTGAGGCGCCTGTCCATAGCAGTATGCCGCTGAGCTTCTGTGCTGGCAGATTTGGTTTTTCAAAGATGTTCGCATGAAATAAGCACAGCAGAAATGTCAGATAGGTCAGCCCACCATGTTTATACATCTTTAAACTAGGGGTGTGCCATATCATCTCATTTCTTTTCCTGTCCTTTTCCATATGTTTTGTTTTGTAGCTGCAAGACCTGAAGATGCGTGTGGAATGACAGTGTTTTGTATGACACCTAAATAAAAATGAATGAATGAATGAATATAGTGCAGAAAGGTGTTACACCTTTATGTGTCCACTGCATAAACTGCACATGTAGCCCGGAAGGTTTAAATTCTTGATTGTATGCCATCCGCTTCAGCATTCCTGCATGCTTTTCAAGGTGAAACCCTTTTGCAGGTCTTAATTAAACCATATCCTTGGTCCATTGATTAGTTGTTTTTCAAAAGCTTTTCCTCAATAGAAGACAGAAATTCTTAAGTAAAAGCTAAATAATTACAATTGCTGTAAAAACCCAAATAAAGATATGTATACATCGCCCTCTAATACCAAATACTGTGTGTGCTCGTAACAGACTGTACACCTGCTCAGTGCCAGGTGTGTGTGATGCTACTAATTTAGCACGCACATCAAGCTGTGCTGGTCGCAGCATGACATGCGTGTGCTCCTTATGTTGTGGCTTCTGCAGTGTGGGCACGTGTGCTTTACCTGTTCCAGCAGGTCTTCCACCTTCCTCTGCCAGCCCTCTCTTGCCGCCATCATCTCCAGTTCTTTCTGCTGGGAGAGCTGAGTCAGCGCCGCCTGTTTGTCCGCTTCATACTCCTCGGTCAACTCCTCCTTTAACAGGCGCACCTCCTCCCTACGGAGAGTTTGGTCAAATTAAACCTCATTGCATTTGTGCCCGTTCTGCTTCATTTTGTCCTGCTACAGCATGTCTGTAAATATTGTATGCCTCCATAAACTTGCTTCCGCTGGTGTTCATTTCCAATTCGCTCTTATTAATATCCATGAGTGCTCTGGCAACTTGTTATGATAATAACAAGTGTGATTGTGAAGCAGAGGGGGCGAGAGATGACAGAGATGGATGAGGAAACAAATGGGTAGAGCAAAACACGAGAATGTGACACTGACAGGCTGACAGGGAGTGAAACACATATGAGGGTTGTTTTTTTTATTTACCGCAGTGCGTCTCTCCATTTCTGGTCCAAGTCGTCTGCCATCTTGTCCATCTTCTGTTTCTCTTCTGTTCTGATGGACATCACTCTGGCTTCATGCTGCTGTCTCTGCGTCTCGATCTCCTCCTGCAGACACAAACAGGTGCACAAATTTTTCATTTATTATGTCATCCAAGCAAATGTGTTCCAGTCGAGATTTTATTCTTACGTTATCTCAAAATTTCACACATTTTTTGCGTGATCAGGACTTAAGTGTGTCATTAACTCAGAATAAAATGTGTGTGCTGTATGTATTTAGAGTGCTGACTCATTAACAATAACAATGTGAAGCTACTAAAAGTACCGAAATCTTCTCAAAGTGCCGTCCCTGACCAGATGCAGCATTTCAATAGCTGAACGGTGGATGACTCATAATGCCCACCTCCACATCTATTTATAATGCCACGGCTACAGGGCTACAGGGCATTTATAATGTGCTGGTTCCGAGGCAGAAACTAACTTCACCAGGTCAGCCGTTTCCTGCTGCCGAGGAGGCTCCAGGGTTTATCTGCTGATGACTTCATTAAAGGACCTAAAAGCTCTTTTGTTCAGCTTCCTGGTAAAGTGCTCGAGTGGTTAAATCCAGACTCAAATGTTCAGGAAGTTGTATTCGAGACAACAGCTTCCATTTAAATGCATCTGAATCTGTTGGGAAAATATCCCTGATATTGTTCTCTGGCAGGGCTGCTGCACAAGTTATCTGGGGGTTTGGATATTTGGGGCCCAGTTTGGTCCATGCTGGGCTGGATCTCTCAGATAAAGTGACTAATGGTCTCATCAGTATTAAAGACAAAAAAAACCACTCAGTGGAGATGAGTCACATTTCACTGTAACTGAGCCCTGCAATTTCATCATAGTAGTATTGATTATTTCAATTTACTGTGACATGCATCTAGATTGAATCATATGAACATATCTTATATCTGAAGGCAGAAAACCTGCAGAGTGTCACACAGTATGACAGACTATAAAACAGCCTGTGGCACCTGTGAGTGATATATAATTAAATATGGCATTATTAGATTATAAGTATATTTTTTTAGTATGTGTAAGCAGCATTTTATTGTTGCAGCTGGTCAGGGTGGAGCTACTTTTAACTTTATATATAGCTAGGTAGTTTAGTCCAGTAGTTCCCAACCTGTGGGTCGGGGCCCATCCAAAGGGTCACCAGATAAATCTGAGGGGTCCCGAGAAAACAAAATTTTGCCGTACAAATTTGTATTCATATTTTGGAAATTCTTGCTCTTTATTAAGATTAACAATAATAATAATGGTAAAAAAAAGTACAGTATTTCCCTCTAACTTGTTGTAGAGTGAAAGTATAGTAGCACAAAATGGAAAAACTCAAGTAAAGTACAAGTATCACTTAAGTACAACAACTGAGCTACTTTACACTGCTGCGTAATAGTGAGTGCAATAAAAAATACTGTAATTAAATGTGATATTAGGATAGTGTAATATTTTAACACAGCATGTAGTGTCATTTATTGTACTTATTTGTATCTATTGTATTCAATTAAATAACCAAATACTATTTTTTTAAACAATTAGTGCTCTTAACAGCAAAAAATAGACACCATAATATTGCTTTGTGAGGAAATAATCTGTTAAAGTTCCTCTCCAGACATTGATTAAACCCTAAAAACTCATTTCTGTTAATGCACATAAAATAAAACTACATATTTACAGGTTTTTTTCTATGAAAAAAAGTCTCTTCATGGCTTGAAAAGGCTTAGATGTAACTCTACACCTTAAACTCATATAGTACGCGCGGATATAATGAGTGTACCTGCTGAACAGACAAACCTTTGCTTGTGAACAGTAATGGATATCCTGGTTTTGGCATGACTACGTTACCAAACAGGTAATAATGTGTTGCTAATGATATGGAAAGCCCCACCCTGCAAAGATAGTTCCTTTGACGTAACGAACCATGGCTGTCTGAGGCCATACCAACACTAAGACATTTTCATTTTAAAATGGTGTTTTAAAATGAAAAGGATCTCCGTACACATGAGCATTTTAGTACCGTTTCAGGAATAATCTCTGTCCATACTAACACGCCTAAAAATGCATATCACATGGCCACTTACATATACTGGCCATGTGCGTCGCAATGTAAACAGGAAGTAAATTGCGTACTCTGTGGTTGCTTAGTTACATAAAATACAGCAGATGCCAAAAAATAAGAGCAGAGATTTCTTTCCTTGGACCAATGACAAAGTAAAACTGCTACTGAAAATAACACGAGTATAAGGTGGTCAAGGCAGCAGAAAACAGATCATTACAAAGCAAATACAGCAGCATTACAGGAACATTATCCCTCTCTGGAGGAAGCCAAGCTGAAGTTAACCACACAAGAAAGTTATGTAAGTTAGTTGGAGGGATAATGTTTTGGCTTGACACGTCATGACAAAATGGGTGTCTGCATTATTGTTTTTTAAAAGTCTCAGTTTCTGTCCATTCACACTGAAATGGAACCCCAGAGTTTTCAAACTGAAACGGGGTCAGCAGCGTTTTCAAAGGTCCATTTTAGGGGTTCGGAAGCACCAGAGTATTGTAGATGCCGGGCATATATGTGGCAAAGTTTTAAATGTAAACATATTTAGTGAGGATCTAGCCTGAATCTGCATTCGGGAGACTGCCATTGTCGATGCTTGGCCATGGCACTGAGTGCTTGGGTTGATTGTCACTGGAGGGGGCCTTTAATTTTTTATAATTTCATACTATAAACTGACAAACCTTTAGCTGAACTTTCCGAGGGTCTTTTTCTGTCTTTTTATGATGTAATAAGCGACTGAGCTATAATGGTTCCTACGCTGCTAAACAATAGCTGGTCTCAATTCAGTGTGAAGCAGGGATCAGCTGGCTCCCTGCTTGTGTCTCTCCTGCAATGAGCTCAGTGAGAACACAAGTTACAATCCTGTGTTAGGCCTTTGCACACAAACCAAATCTCCTCTTTTTATAGAAGCCGGGCTCTGGTGGGAAAGCAAAGAGCACCGCTCTGCAATTTCATCTAATTATCACTCCTCATTCACTCTCTCTGTCCTCTGTCTCTTTTATTACTCATCTCTCTTTCTCTCTTTTATTAGGCATTTTGTATTCACTGATTTTATGTGCCAGTTTCCACCAGCTGTGACTTTTTCCACTCATTCATATATGAACTTCATCTTTGTGCATGTTGTTGTTGACTGAGTTACATTCAATTCATTTCAATCATTTTATTTACATTTCAACCACTTTTGCTTTTTTCTTTTATTATTTTGCATTGATTTAATTTCCCGACAACAATTAATTACATGACTAATAATAACATTAAAAGAATAGTCTCCCTTCCTGTCTCTCTCTAGACTCTTCCTTACCAGCGGGGCTCTTTTCAAACACAGGACCACTCAACTCAAAATAGCCTCATCATCATTATCTCACAGCTGGCCTTCAGTACGCACTTATTTCCCAGTTAAATCTCATTTCCTGTGTACAAAATGTTCTTCCTCTCCCCCATCTCTCCATCCTTTCTTCCCGTCTTTCTTTCTAAAGCGTCAGTTATGCTTTCCGCTCGGACGTGAGCTGACAAAGGATTGTGACGAGGAGACATTTGGATCTTTTATACTCTGAGCGGTTTCTCCTTTGCTTCAAACCAGCATTCTCTCAAACTGTAGGCGGCAGTGTATCTAAAACTGACCTCTACAGCGTGGTTCTCTGCCCATCAATGTTCACGTTGCAGGGACAGGTGAAAACCAGCTGCACGAGTGGCTGACTTGGCTACACAAACATTAAGGCCACTGAAGTTAGCGTTTACAATTTCATGTATAAGTTGATGAGCAGAGAAAGCCAATAAAACTTGAGCAGATTGTAATGAGGAGGAGGAGGAGGAGAAAGGCTTTTTGTAGAACAATGGCTGCTACAACTGTACTATATGGAGATGTGTGTGGATACAGAGTCACAGCCAGGAGTGGTGGGATTGTGACGTGATGCTTCACTGAAACAGATTTCACACAAGGACTATTTTTAAAGGTCCAGTTTGTAGGATTAAGTGGCTGAGGTTGCAGACTGCGACCAACTGGAACTTCTCCCATGTGCAAAGCATGTGGGAGAACTAAGGTGGCTGACGCAAAAACACAAAAATTTAAATGACCCTATCAGGAGCCAGTGTTTGGTTTGTCTGACTGTACTTGACACAGCAGGTTACAGACTCTCATTATATGTAGGGCCTGACCTTGATTCTTTATACAATAAAACAGGAGTGAATAAGCAGCAAAACAAAAACACAGTCTCACAAACAGGCACATCTTCAAAAGCACTGCAATGATTCATAGCCAAGGTCAGCACCGACCAGCTGGACCCCTGCAGGAACACTTTGCTCTTCCCACCGGCAGGGAACAAAAAGATTATACATATCTGAGAAATTACAGTAACACCTCCAGTTTTCTAAGCTGTGACTGAACTTTTTTGCTGATTTTTCTCGATCTAAACGTCTGAGAAGATACTCCCTCCTTTGGTTTATCAGTGTCATGAGTGACTGTCTGTAATAGTAGAGTCATTTGTAAAAGACAAGCACAATAATCTTTGTGTTTTTTGACAGAGATAAAAGTATCTTGTCTGTGTTTGTTTCCTAGAAAGAGCTGTATGATTCACAACTAATAGTAGGTAAAGTAGAGTTCAGCTGGTATGTTTCTAATTAAATAATTCCAATAAAGCTTTCGCGCTAATTTAGACATTGTTTCAGTTGAATATGCAAAAATGTGAAATTTGTCTAGAGACAAGTGTACAAATCAACCTATATGGAGATTATAGTATCCTAATATAAATAAATAATAGATGAGTCTTCCCTTGGGGTAAAAGGACGTTGATATTTTCTCGTTAATTACCGTCAAATGACGGAGTTTTATAGAATTTATGAAGCTGCAAAATAAAGCAATTCCTGTATTGACGCTCTAAATCCTCTTGGTTTCATCCTCATTATTTTCCTCACCTGTAGGTCAGTTAGCAGGTTGCTAGTCTCTCGGACCCGGGCTCTCGTAGCGTCAAGCTCTATCTTGAGCTTCTCCTGAGTTTCCCTCAGACAGCTGATCTGTGTCTTAGCTGAACTCATGTTCTGCTCCCCCTCCCTCACCAGCTCCTGGAGGTGGGACACCTGAAGAGATCAACAGAGGGGGTTATCACATCGTCATTCAAAGATTCGTTAGTTACGTCAGTCCATAGCTTCCCAATAGTTTTCCTCATGCATTCAAATCCAAACATACAAATATCAGTCGCAGTATTTAGTGTCAAAACGCTACTTTTCAAAGACCTTCAAAAATCATTTACCACGTGTCATGCTACATATAAACCCACTAGACCACCTGACGTGCTTCTTTGTGACTGAGCCAAGCCTCTGTTGGGAACTGTGTTTTATAGATTATCCAAATTAGTTATATTCCTCTAACCCAATCCCAAGCTTTTTCCTCAACGGATCCATTTTCGATCAGTGAACTGACAACCCCTGACTAAGCGACATGTTTTATGGATATTTCATATTGTCTTAAAGGCATAACAATAACAGCACAGAACATGTGAATGCAATAACTGCATGAAGTTTGTGTAAAATATATGATATTTTTAATCTAATCTAATTTTTTATACAAATCTGTATTGTGTATTTTTTATTTATTCTAAGAATCATACATTGCTAATGAGCCTCTTTACTCAACAAACTCAGTGTTTTCTTCTCTCTGATGCTTGGCCATTGCTCTAATAACTGTTTAGTTGTTTTACTTTTGTAGTGCCAGATGAGGCTGTTTCACAGAGAGTGAAGGCTCTGTGAATACAGTTTGTGTTCAGGTCTTCACTGTGCCCTTATTCTGTGAGATTTTTTTGAGTTTATATCTTAATTAATCATCAAAATCTTAAAAAAAATAATCCACAGCAGTACATTGCTTAGCTTCTGTGGTTGTACAACTGTCTGCTTCTCTAAACTCAGAGGGTGCTGATCGCCATCTACTGTTGGTAATACACTGACTATGGATAAGTACCTCATACAACCCCACTTCAAAAAATCTGAACTATCCCTTTAAGTTATAATCAATATAAGTAGCCCTACATCACTGCTTTTGTTACCAAATAATTGGCTGTTTCCCTTTGTAAAACCCAGAAAAGAAAGCAGATGGAGTCGTCCTTTAGCGACCGTACCTCCTGATTGGCCATATTGAGCTTGGCTGAGAGCTCCTCTTTCAAGTTGTCAAGCTGCTGCTGAAGACGGTCGCGCTGCTCCTCCAATGACAGACGCTTAATCTCAAACTCCTGACTCATTTTCTGGAGAGAAGGAGGAGAAAGAGAAAGAGGATGAAAGGAAAGACAAAAAGAAACTCACTCATTAGTGAGATATACTCTATAAACTTTATATTCAAATATTAAATTATTTTAATGCCTGAAAAGACAAATTACTGGTGCATGTTTACTATGACGGCCTGGCAGCTCTGTCTTTTGGTTTCTGCAGTATTTCCTAGTGAAAGTATAATCTCTAAAAAAGGAGGGGAGTTAAGAAGCCACTGTAAATCCCATTTGTGCCGTAATATGGAGTCGTGACAGTTGTTGAGTGTGAAGCATGTCTACTGAATGGAGGAAGGACACGTGAGTTGTCATTTAAACTTAAAAGGCCATCTCATCCGACCAACCGGTTTCTATAATCCTTCAAACCACAGCACCAAATCCTTTCTGGGCCACTCTGAATTTCTCTCATGAAACGCTCTTTCTACTTCTTGGTTTGCTATTAATTCCCAGCACTGGTATCAACAGTGGAAAGGTTTTATGGAACACAACCATTGCTCTGTTGTGTGTGTTTAACTTGAAGCAGTTGTTTAGTACAGTACTGCTGGATGAACGGCATCCTCAGAGGCAGATTCCTGGTGGTCAGACTGAGTTCAAACTCTTTAAATTTCACTGTGATTTCCCTTTATATGCTGAACATCTGCTTAAGTAATGCTAATTTAGTAAACGCACAACATTTCTTACCCCCACATGAACAGTTCTGATCATCATGCAACCTTAAATAAATGCTAGTAGAGCTGCTTAATATGAAAATATATATACAGCACGGATAGGCCATAAAGTGTCTGCAGCAGCTGTCTCTTTAATGTGCTTATATATGATCACTGCAAATGAAGGACTGATTATAAATACTGGAATTACAAGATTTTGGCACCAACGTACTTTGATTTTTCAGATTTTTATTCACTAAATGAGCCACAAAGTGATTCCCATCCGTATTTTCTGTACAGTGTAAATTACTGACGGTGTGAAACACGGAACAATGAGAATCTTTCCGAGCTTCACCTCCCATCCTAATATGACGTGAGGAAACTATAAACAACCACCCATCTTATGTTATCCACATGGGAGCCAACTAGTAATCCTCTTTCTTTAACCCAATTACAGTAGATGTGCCTGTTACCATGCTGCCTCGAGCCTTCCAAAAGGTTCAAGGTTTAATCTATTCACCCATAAGAACATGGAGATTGCTAATCAGCCAATGCTGAAATAAAAAACACTGACAATAAAGACCCACTGATAAAAAACATAGATACAGACTTAAAGCTTTAAACTGTACTACATGATAAAAACTGCTTTGTGAGTCCTTCTCCAAGTTGTGCTTGACACGTTAAGCACTTTGTCTTACTGTATTTGTGTGATGTTTTTTTTCATGCCTTCTGCTTTGGCTTTGGCACTTGGTTGTGACCTTTTTACGAAGTCCCAACCTCCATCTGGGCACTGTGGGGGTGCACGCTCATAAACATCCGGAGTACAGAAATATAAAAAGAAAAAAGGCAGGCAGAGGGCAGAGTCTCTGCAGGTAAGTACACCACACACTTCTAGCGGGACATGTTAAGCATATTTTCGCTGTTAGACATTCTTTTCCGACGGGAAACTGAAGTTCTTAAATTGCTCTCTTCAAAGCCACCAGACTCCATTGAGAAAAACAGTGATTCAACATCGCTGAACACAGGAGTTGCTGGTTTAGTGCTGCATCAATCAGTTAATTTGGTTGTCTTATTGTGTAACTTTGGTGATTCAGTGTTTGGTGTTTAGTGTAAGGTTCATTTAGATTCAACACAGTCACACAAACAAATTATCCAATCGAGGCAGTGGTAAAGCAGCAGCTCCTGTGTCTAGCAAGCTAAAATTACTGTTTTTGTCGGTGGAGTCTGGTGGCTTTAAAGAGAGCCTAGATATGGCTTTAGTTCCCTATTGGAAAGGGCCACCTGACAGCAAGGCGAAGCGATGAAAATACTCCAAATATAGTGCACACTATAACTGATATTGATCTTTATAAGTGGTTAGAATACGTTTTGCTGCTGCTCCATCCACAGCATCATATTGCTTAGCTTCTGTCTTGGTACTCCTGCCTGCTTCTTTAACGCTAACCCTGGCTACGTACGATACTGATGTCAGAGAGTGAAGACAACAGTTAAAGACAAAGATTCCTGTGTCATAGTTTCCTCCATCTGGAAAGCAAACCCACCAGATGAATTAATTAATTAATGTACATCGACAGAAGAGCAGTCATCAGACGGGAGATTAGGAATATGACTGCAAAGCCTCTATCCTGCTGCTGTCTCATTTGGCCTTAGGTAGACTGTGGTGAATTATGAATTAATACAGCACGAGCAATTTGTAGAATTTGTCATTTTGTTGCCTCCGATTAGAAACTCGTTAATATCTTGCTGACAGACGTAAAAGTAAAAACAGATTTTAAAAACGACCAGCTCTGTCTGCATCATTGTCTCACCGTCTCTGTCTTCCTGCATCCTCTTTAATTCCTCTTTAAATGAAAACAGACATTAATCTAAAGATGACGAGGCGCAGCACCGCTCCGGCTTACATAATATTTCCTTTTTCATCATTCCCCTCTCGCGCCTCACTCCATCCGTTCTCTCCATCGCTCTTTCTTTCTTTCAGTGAATCTATAAACACACACCCACATGCTCACACACCGCTCTCACTTGGCTTGGAGGCAGGATTTAATGTCAATGAAAATCAACCAATTAGCAGTCGGCTTCAAACAGCATTGGAAGCATGAGCTCAAGGGGGGGGGGAAGAGAGAAGCGTTATGAAAGAGGAGAGATATCGGAGGAGACAGAGGGAGAACACTGAGTTCAAAATTATTTAAAACTCAAAAAGTGTGTAATCATTTCAGAGGCAGAAAATAAGCTGGAATGTTAAAGGAATGGTCTTTTGGAAACACAGTGTTGTGAGTTGCTCTGTATCATGCTGCCGTCATGCCTCTGAGCTGATTCACTCTGACTGGATGTCAACAAGCTCCAGAATGAATAGGATTCTTAATGTTCGCTGAATGCAGGTGGAGCCATGTGAGCGTGAATAAATTGGGTGTAATGTGCTGTAAGGGCTGCAAGCAGCAGAAAAACAAGCGCTCCTCCTCTTCTAGAATTGCAGGAGAAAAATAATATTGTGGCTGACCAATCGGATAATAACAGCCGCTCTTTAGTGCCGTCACCATGTGATTGGACAATGCTGGTGACGTCATCCTGCATGGACACGGACCCACGTGGGGAAATGTTGACTGACAGCAGGTGATGCAGCACTTAAATGTTCCTTATGTGTTTATTCGTTTACATGTTTACATGCTTTAATGTTCAAAAAGCACTATTTTTTTCATACTATCTTTGCTGGTTGTGTATAGTCTCAGTCTTGTCTCAAGCAAACTCTGGACACGTCGCTCTCAGTCCGCAGGTTTAGTCCGCACCAGAGTTTGATTGACAGCTTTCACACCGGCCTAAACACACCGTACCAGATGGGTGAGTGCAGCAGTTCATTCAACCAAAACAGATTAGGTGTGAAAGCTGCCTCAGATGAAGTCATCAGCTGATCAAAGAAATGGTCAGCATGCTCTAATAGCTGTTCAGAATGCACACAGAGAACCACATTTTACAGAGGATATTGAATTAAGCCCCACTTTGACAGGATTACCATTACAGGGGGAGATCAGGAGTACTGTGCTCCTCTGTAATTTAACTCGTCGTTCCTAGCAGCATTAGGACATTACAGGATGCAGTCTGTAGACAGGGACATTTTGCAGGACTATCCAAAAGAGAGAACCAATATCCAACCTGTAGCTGACATCACAACAGCACCTAAAACCCATCATTTTGGTAGTTTTGTGTTGCTTTGAAGTAATTTTGTATTTCCTTGTTTTGTGTCTTTTGTATTTGTTTTGGGCTCTCTCAGGTAATTTTGTTTCTCTTTGGGGTAATTTTATATCTTTTTAGGTAGCTTTGTGCCACTGTAAAGTCATTTTGTGTCTTCTTGTTATTTTGTGTCTCTTTGTAGTTGTTTTGTGTTTCTTTGTGGTCATTTTGTGTCTCCTTGTGGTTATTTTGTGTCTCTTTGTAGTCATTTTGTGTCTCCTTATGGTCGTTTTGTGTCTTTTGGTAGTCATTTGAGTCTCTTTGAAGTTATTTTGTTTCTCTATTGGGTAATTTTGTACCTCTTTAGGTATTTTTTTAGGTAATTAGCTAATTTGTTTTTAGGTGAGTTTCTCTTCGGGGTAATTTTGTATCTTTTTAGGTAGCTTTGTGTCTCTGTGGTCAATTTGTGTCTCCTTAAGGTTGCTTTGTGTCTTTTTGTAGTCATTTGGGTCTCTTTGGGGTAATTTTGTATCTTTTTAGGTAGCTTTGTGTCATTATGGTCATTTTGTGTCTCCTTGTTATTATTTTGTGTCTCTTTGTAATTGTTTTGTGTCTCTTTGGGATTATTTTGTGCCTCCTTGTGGTTGTTTAGTGTCTTTTTTTGTCTGTTTTTTAGCCTTTTTAGTCTGGGGTAATTTTGGTTGTCTTTTTTGTTATTTTGTGTCTCTTTGTGGTTGTTTTTTGAGTGTTTCTGTAGTTGTTTAGGACTGAGATAATTTTATGGGTTTTTTTGGTCATTTTGGGTCACTTTGAAGTAATTTCTGTATCTCCTTGTGATTATTTTGTGTTTCTTTGAAGTCATTTTGTGTCTCTTTAGGGTAATTTTGTGTCTTTTTTTCTAGTTATTCAGTGCCTCCTTACAATTCCTTAGCATCTTTTTATTGTCTTTCTGTGTCTCTTTGTGGTCATTTTGAATCTCTTCCTGGTCGGTACATGTTAATTTGACATTTGACATTTTGCAAGTGAATGTTGGGGGGCCCCTGACACTTTGGGTCCTTGAGACTGGTAGGCCCATTCAGTAATTCATCCATGATTGAAGAATCAATAGCTTGATGTGAGTAAGCCCATGGCAGTATACAGAGGCTTCAAAATAAATAGACGCTAGAGACACAACAGTCCTTTCTGCTTACATCCATTTGTTGCTGGTAATGTAATGCTGTTGGGGTAAATGAATCCGGCTAAATTAATTTAAACAGTGTAATTTGATCTGATGTTGGAAAATTGGAAGGAGAGAGAAAGGAAGAAAAAGACGTGACAGAATTAAAGGCGCAAAGGAAAACACAGGGTGAGAGCGATGTTGTTTTCACGTCTTCGTCTTAATGTTGACCTAATTAAATGAGTGCAGTCAGTTGAGGGAGCTGCTCATTTCTCAGGGATACATATTTCTTAAACGACTGAGGAGAAAATTTAATTGCTGATGGTGCTGTGCTGAAAAGAGAGATACAAAACCCTGAGAGCAACACTCTGTATGTAATCACTGTTTTTATATGAAAATTGGGAATTTCAATTGTGGCCTTTTTCATGTTTTATCACCATAGGGTCTACGTTAAAGGTTAATACACGTCCGCCTTCATGAGAGGGTAAACAAACAACACAAACAATCTCCAAAACTGTTTTCCTTGCTTCATGTTAAATTGTGTCCACATATCTTAAAATAGTCAAACCACAAGAGAGCAACTCTCGCTGAGCTTGTGATTTCTTTTGCAGCGACACTGACAGGGGGTTTGACAGAAGTGTGTAAATATACGATTCAGCCATATGGTAACAAAGAGAAACAAAGCAGTCACAGTGTTTCATTCTTCGGGAATAAATTACTCTGTCACTTCTACAGCGTTTCTTCAAACCAATCTGTGGATCTGATATATGTCATCTCGAACTGCAGAAAAATCTGAACAGGGAAAAACCTTTTTCACCAATATTCTTGTCATATTGTGTAGATTAAAAATAAATATGAATGCTTAATGAAGAGTGCATCCCATAATGCATTTAGTAATCCCCACATGGATTTCAGTAAATCATGATGTATTAATCGGTCATGTCTTGAAAGCGATGACATTGCTCACGTTGCAGACTCTGATTGGCTATTAGTTATGTCAAAGCAAAGTACGTGTCGGATTACAAAACTCTTGTATCATAAAACTGGAAAAACTCAAATTGGATCTTTTTTTCAGAATCGAAAAAGAACACAAGCACAAAAAGCTAAACACCAAATCCTGATATTGGATTTACCGCCATGAGGAGCTGCTTCTCCTCCTCTTTCTCCTGCTGTGCCTCCTCCCTCATGGACTGGTGCTTCTCCTCCAGCTCCTCCAGCGCTCTGACCTGCGCCTCCTTAAAGCGAAGCATCTCCTCCTCAGAGTGTGCTCTCAGCCTGCACAGCTCCTTCTCATACCCCTGGTGCTCCTCACGCAGAGACTGGAGAAGCAAAGGAGAATAAAAAACATTGGCTTTCTATGATTAACGATCTCAGGCTACACCTGGATTACAGGAAGGGTTCACAGTACCTGTTCTAGTTTCAGCACTTGCTGTTTGTGCTGTTCATTGGAGGTCTGACTCTGGTTGAGCAGTGCTTCTCTCTCCTCCTCCAGCCGGCTGATCTTCTCCTTCAGCCGGTTCTGCTCCTGGTCCAGGTTCCTAATGGTCGCCTCATGGGCCATCTGGGTGGCCTGCAACGAGCCAATCTGACCTGGGAACAGCCAAATCCCAAGAGGCAACACAGTCAGCAATCAGAACAACGCTGATCCATCCAACACACTGAGTCAAATCTCTAAAATTGATCTGAGCAGTTGGCTTTATTATTGCTTTACTGCTGAGGCAACAGTTTCATCAACATTTACTCCAATTGGAGCTGCCGAACAGAAGGCGAGCTTTCTGTTAATCTCCACAAATGTATCAGCTATTCAAAAGTTCCTGTGAGAAACACAGGCTGCTCATAAAACTGGTCGAGAACTGGTCCATGGGAAAAGACAGTAGTGTAGGGTGCATTCTGACTGAAACTGAGTGGGCAGACAGAGAGCAGATGTTCCAGAAAAGAAAAAGTAGGCACCAGAGAGTTTACATGATTATCATGATTAGAAAATGTTTAATCCAGAGCTTTCAAAAGCAGTCACACTTCTTTCTAAACAAACCAGTTTATATGAGGCTTTTTTCTCCAGGGGGTTCTCGTTTTGAGAACCATAAAGAACGGAGCCACTAAAAGCACCATAACCACTATCTTTGCCATTTGAAGGTCTGATTCCCATAACATATTGCACTAATTATATTTCAGCACAAACACAAACAGAAAGATTTGTAGGCCTTTTTCTGCATCTGTTACAATTAACCATATGGCAAAGTATAGATGTTGCCTTTGCACTAAGAATACAGTAGGCAGAACGATGGCAGAGAGAAAAAGAAAACAGAAATTTTCAGATGCTGAGCCACAGGTCCTGTCTGAGGAGGTGCAGAGGCAGAGTCTGGAATTTGATCATTGGAAAGTCTGGACGTGACAACACTCATAAATGCGCCTCAGTTACCAACCACTCTGAAGACTGAGATCAGTCCGATGGACGATGGCATCAATTCTGACTTATCTAACAGATGAACAATAGGCTACTGTATGGGTGAAGTGGCACACTTCTTAGCAACAAGTTTGTCCATATTTGCCACCGTTACTAATCAATACCTGTTCTTTTGTTTTGTTATAATTCATTGGTAACATTATATATATATATCACAGGTTTCAGCTGGCCGTTTTTTTTTTTGTTTTGTTCTTCTTTTACTTGAACTTGATTTTCTCAAAAATGTAAAAGGAAACAATATATAAAAGCACAGAGACCTACACAAGGTAAAAAAGACATGCCTTACCCTTGAAAAGATACGCTACTCATTTTTTTTTTTAATTCCAAAAGGTTTAGGGCTCCTTTCTGAAAAACTTCCAAAGCTGTCAGTTAAACTTAAGATTTTGTGTTTGTTTCTTGTTTTTGTTGCTTTCTGTCAGTGTGTACATAGGCATCTTTCCCCCTCTCTTTTAATATTAAGCCTGACTTTCAACTCTGTCATTTTTTGTACTATTCAGGAGATGGAGAACTGTCCTAGTGACGATATTCTGGCTGTTATCTGGATGTCATGCTCGTCATGTACATGCTTTACGTTTGATACCTGTTGTGAATATGCAGTGTGTATACCTGTTAAAATTAAATACACATATTCTTGATTGAAAAAAGACAGTAAAAAAGTAACAACTGAAATAAGCATCTGGAGGATAAACTAAAAAATATACATAGTTCAAGCCTTCTGTCCAGTAGAGAAATAAACAAAGTAAAAAATGGACCATTCATGTTTCTTCGAGAGTACACCTCAAGATTTTGGGGAGGGTGGGTATTTTATGAACACTGTCCAGTATGATCTTCCACAATTGTTCCTTTTTTATAAACTTCAGAAAGTCTCTTCTTTCATGGAGATCGACTCTTGGAATGTTTAAAGTTACAATCCCTCTTTCAGGTGATCTACGTCCTTCGAATTCGTTGCTACCAGTCTTTTAGCTGTCATGCATCTGGCTGTTAAGTTTGTCATGTTTTGACCAGATACACACACAGATCTTTGTGAATTTGACTGTGCCAGATGTATCAATATTACCTGACTTAAAGACGTGCAAATAGCACAGCAGCACCAAGCAGCTATTTGCTCGGCAGCACAGTTGCTTTGCTGGTGCTTTAAGAATTCCACAATGGTTTTTTTTTTTGTCTTATTTGTGCAAGGCACAAAAGCTGCACAGTCCTTTTGTGAACTCGCACCAGACAATGTGCACAGCTCACACATACTTCAGACCAGCATACACAAGGAGAGTGATCAGGGAGTGATCTGATAAAGTTGAGATGAAAAATATGATGAGAGATGGAATGTAATAATGAAGCATAATGAGTTGTCTGGCCCTGTCTGGCAACACGATCCATGAAATTGCACTTCCACTAAAGACTGGTGGAGCAGACAGTAGCATTGATATGCAATTAGGTAATTAACTGTGTGTCTGCAACTATTTTCTGACTGACTGCTGGAGTGGAAATCAGGCTCTTGCATGTGCTCCAAGTTTCACAATGAAACAGAATCATGTGTATGTGCAGTCTGACTTTTAGTGGTGAATCTGGGCAGTTTTAAGGTATGTGGTCTCAAGTGTTCTGTAGGTAGTCGGCTCTTTCAGAACTGTCGCAACATACAAAGAGTGAGGTGAGTCGGATGAGAGATATTTACAAAGGACTCTCTCTACAATGAGGTGGTGACTAAAATTATACCATGACATCAATAGTCATAATAGATAAAAATAAAATAAGCCCTAGGCTGATAAATAGCTGAATTCCCCTTTAACAGATGTGTAAACATCTGTACACAGCACTGTATACTATAGCAGTGAATGGCAGTTGGTAGAGGAACGTCTTACTGGCTTTGTGGAGGATTTCAGTTGCCTGCTGTTGAACTCGTTCCCTGCTGCCCTCTAGTTCATACTCAGTGTCCTTCAGCTGCATCACCCAGATCTCTCCATCCTGGATGGCCTCTTCCAGCTGCTTGTGCAGGTTCTGCAGCAAACACAGGAGCACACAGATACAGTGCTCACAATACACCACAGCAATCCAACATTCTGTATTCTAAAACCCTGTCATATCTCTCCCACTGCAGTCACATGAACCTACCCAGCTATTCAGACTCTGCAGATTTGCCTGCAGGACCATCAGTGCACACCACATTAGATTTCCCACCACACTGAGATTCTTGAAAAACCATTTTCACCCTGAGGCTTTTACTTTTGTCTTTGTTTCCTGCAACTGTTTTTCATCCGATTTAACCTACTTTCCTGCCCACATTTAACCATAGGATGACTCTCATACAGGAAAACTGTAAATTCTGACGTTGATTATTTTTATTTGGATCTTATGCTTTAAAATCTAAAGAGACCTATTATGCTTTTCCTTATTTTCTGCCATATATATAATGTCACAAATTCAGATGTTCATATAAAATGTAGCCAATATTTCAAATAAAGATGTAAAAATATGTATAAGTAATTCCAGTGAGGGAAAACCTCAGGCTCCAAACCGTTCTGAATTGTGTTTCCAACATTTTTTCTGCTCTGGCTACAAGCTGATGTCGGCTCATGCCAGATTTCTTTATATGGTCATCTGCTTCAGGCACGCTACTGCAAGTGTTTACATTACACACACCGCTAAATGTGGCTACATGCTAACATCAGTGAAGTATGTCATCTTGGTTGCAGATGTTTTTAATTTCTCCCCAGTTATGGATAATATTCCTGCTGGAACACGTTGCTTGTGAGGATTCTGGATTGATTTTGAAGATTTTGAATGCTGGTGCTATACTCGGTTCGTCATTCCCTGGCTGCAATGATCGCGAACAGACATCCATGGACGTACAGTATGAAGAGAAATGGATACAGCTCTGGAGTCGGGGCCCCGTTCATTTCTATGAAAGTTTCTTGGCCAAAAAAGTTAGACTTCTCTGGTGCAAATTACCTGGATCTTTTGCATCATTGGGCCCAAAGAGTTTGCATAGTTGTGCATTCACTCACTCATTTATTTGTCAATTAGTACACACACACACCTTGATAGTTCCCTCAGCGTTGGCCAGCGATGTCTGCAGTCTGTTGGTCCTGTCTCGGTTCTCTCTGGCCTCCTCTTGTGCTTTCTGAAGCTCACTCCGCAGCTTGGACAGAGAGCGTTGCAGCGCAGCTTCCTGAGCCTGGAACTCCTTACGAAGCTCAACCTTCACAAGAGCAGAGGATGACATAATTCGCTTTAGGACATAAAGACACCCCCGCCCCCAGGCTCTGAAACAGCTTTGATAAACCCCCTTAACACCACCTGTCCTGCACCAAACGGCAGACACAGACAGTGTTTTGTTTCTGTGTTTTACCTCAGTCCTTTTCCAGGCCAGCAGGTTCTCAGTGGTGAGCTGGTGCGTTCTCCTCATGGCCTCCAGCTCTCTCTCATAATACTCCTGAGCCTTTGCCAGCTTGGCCTCGTACTCCTCCACCAGACGGACCTTGTCCTTCGTTATCTCCTCCACCCTCTCCATCAATGCCTCCACCTACACATGGAGACAGATAAATAAAGAGCAAGTCTTTGTTTTTTGATTCAAAGCTTACACAATAAATTCAGAGAGCTTTGGGTACTGCAAATATTGTGCACATTTATCAACTTATCTGTTTGTTTTTAAAGATTCGTCTTTGGTAAATCTTTTATATTAGATACAGTTGAGAGGACAGGAAAAATGGGAATAAAACAAGGGGATGACATGCAACAAAGGTCCAGAATGTGACCACTGCAGGTTTATATTATACTCATGAGCCAACTGCACCAACAAAACAACCCTATTTTTTTCAATTTTAATGCGAAAATCACTTAATAAGCTTCCAAAACAGCAATTACCCCATCAAGTAACTTGCTGTTAAAACTCCACAAAAGCCCAGAATATCATGCTTCAATCCAAAGCACACCTATCTTCCTTCCTCTCACTCTTAGCCCACCTCTTGTCTATGCAGCTCAGCCAGTTTCTCCTGGTCTTCGGTGGAGGAGGCGCTCTGGTTCTGCTGGTTGTTGAGGAGTTCCTCCACCTCCTGGCGGTGGGTGGTCCTCAGATCTTCCAGCGCTCGCCGTTTTTCCGCCTCAAACTGGGCCTGAGCTTGGCTGAACGCCCGCAGCTTCTCCTCAAAATCCCGACGCATCTCCTCCACCTATTGAGACCACGAGACATATTCTATTCTGTTTGAGTCGTTGATGTGTTAATGCCAACTCAGGCTCAACCTGTGCCAAGCTAAATGCTCACAGCATCTCCTGAAAAATCTCTCTGAAATGATTGAGAAAGGGAAAAATGTTTAATTCTATTACTGTTTGCTATCTGTGTACTCATTTGTTATTTCTCTGAGAGCCAAACAGAATGCTTGCAGCTTCTCTAACGTGTTGAAACAACAGCAGCAATGTCCGTGTTTGCGGTTGCGTCGAAAGATCTGACAGACATGAGGTGGAAAAAATATATAAAAATGTAACATGGGATGTGATGTCATGTGATGGCTACAGACTGGTTCAGGTTTGTCAAGCTGGCGGCAGACAGTGTGAAGGTAGTGGCAGAGAGGAAGACAACACCAACGCTAACACACACCAATCCCGACATAGATGAACTGATGATGAACTGAGCTCAATCAGCCACCAGCTCATCACATCTAAACACACTTCAGGAGTTCATTTATGCGCACTGCCATCAGACTCTACAGAAGCAGGCAGAGATGACACTGGCGTATGATGGCATGATATGATACATGACATGATGTATGAAATCATATTGGACTGAGATATAGTTATCTTTTTACATTCTATATGATTTTACTTTACATTATTTTTGCAATCAATGATTGTTGCATTACTGTATAGTTATAACATCTAAAAGATGCTGATGCTTAACAGAGAACAGATCTCACAGCACTCCCAAGGTCGAACATTTTACTACATTTATGTCACAAAATCTACATTTTTAATTTAAAAGTTAATATATTTAGTGAAACAGCTGCGATTTGCCATGCATTAGGCGTAACGCTACCACAGCAGCACCATATACCAAGTTAAAGGTCCAGTGTGTAGGATTTAGGGGGACATATGGGCAGAAAGTTACTAAAGTTACACTAAAGTTTCCTTCAGTGTATAATCACCTGAAAATTAGAATAGTTTTGTTTTTGTTGCCATAGAATGAGCCTTACTGCACTGCCATATATCTACAGAAGCCCCTGAACGGACAAACAAAACACTGGCCCTAGATGGGGCCATTCCAACTTTCATATCAGCTACTTAAGTTAGCATTTCCTCCATTACAAACAACATTGGGAAAACATTATTTTTTTGATATGAAACTGCTTTACTCAGTGTGTAAACCAGTTTAAATCACTGGGTCTGTTTGTTTTAGAGAGGAAGAGACCTCTGCGGATAATATGGCTCCCTGTAAAAACAATTGCTGACCTCCAGAACATGAACACTTAGGAATTCCAACTAGGAGAAGTTTCAGCTGATTGCAATCTACAATCCTCACCACTAGATGCCACTAAATCCCCTTGAATGTTACACACTGTTCCTTTAAGAATCGCCATAAAGCCAGTGGGAACAAGTGGCATGCCATTTCTACTTTGCATTAACTTGTCTTACTTAAAGGACTTCACCCACAAAATCATCATTTGCATATCAATTACCCTGTTATGTTATATTAATAAAGACAGCTTTGTTTAGCTCTCATGCCTCCACTGTGAACGAAGAATCCAAAATGGCAAATATTATTGATGAATTGGAGTAAAAAGGGGATGTGTTAAACAACAGCAAACTTTCACACAACTTGTGCAGTATAATCCAAGTCTCATTTATCCAGTCGTATGCTCATTACCTCCCAAACACGTGCATTTTTAGTGAATCATCAACAATTAAAAACCTTTCCAATGTGAGCATGGCACCTGGGCAAGCATGTGGGTTTGAACTCTGCTCGTGCATTCAGCTGAGTTGCCAAAGCATACTTCTAATAAGTGTTTCAAACAGTAAGCTTTCCGCAAAATGCATGAGTTTGGGAAGTACTGAGCATACCACTGGATAAATGAGACTTGGATTATACTGCAGGAGTTGTGTGAGAGTCTGTAAACTGATATTTTGATATAGTTTTGCTGTTGTAAGTGTCCAAAGTTAACACCCCTCAAGAACCAAGTGTGGGTAGATTTTCCATTTGGTCAGACGGACAAATATTTGAACTAAAATACTCATGTAATATGCTGAATCTCAACCGTGTTTTGGTGTCATTTATGGGCACGCTGCTCTGCTGCTCCTCTGCTTTCAGTGTCACAGTCTGACACACAAACACACACAACAAACAAATGTATGTGACACAAAAAAGCAATGATTGATTTGGCCAGTAAAAAACATGATTGGCCAGGGGATTTTTTATCAAACATTCCCTCTGGCCTGTGAGTCAAAATTTAATTTTGGATACTTGGCTGTTAAATGTGGTCCCCTTTTACTCGAATTCATCAAGAATTGGGCAAACATTCATCATTCATCGAGCCATTTCTGGATTCTTCTTTTACTGTGGATGCATGTGAGAAAAGCAAATGATCATTTTGTGAGTGATATATTCCTTTAACTCGCAAGTGTTACACACTAGCAGTGATAAGCACAATGCATCATGACTTATACAAACTAAAGATAACAGTCTAGATAATACTTGCGTTTTATCAGCATTTAACGGGGTAACTGAATCATGATGCATCTCCATTGACCCGGTGTGTGTGTGTGTGTGTGTGTGTGTGTGTGTGTGTGTGTGTGTGTGTGTGTGCGTGTGTGTGTGTGTATCTGAGTAAACCCTTACCTCTCTGCTCATAGAAACCACTCTCTGTGTGTGCTGGGCCTCTGTGCAGAGCTGCGAATCCTCCATTCTCTGTCTGTACATCTCAAACTCTGCTAAAGCCTGGCAGTGAGAAAACATTAAAACAGCTGCATTATTTTACATCAAATTACAGCAACTGCAATAAATCACACAAATGTACAAGTGCGATTTCACGCAATCATTGCTATATTACATCACAAGATTATTAGATGCCATGCAGATGAATTCAGATTTAATTACTTCAGTTCATTAAAGGCAGCTGCAGAACTATGACATAACCCGGCATGAAGATTATGACATGTGAAGTAAACTGTCCTTATAATTTGCATGTGTGAAGCTCTGCAAACATCCACTCTGAGCAAACAGAAACACAGCCAAACTAAATGGAGCCCCTGTGGTGCCCAGCAGCCGTGAGTGACCTGTCTCTTCATGTGTTCGTGGAGTTCGACAGATTCTTCCAGACTGGCCAGCCGCCGCCTCAGGTCTGCCTCGTCTGCCATTTTGCTCTTGTACTGCATGATCTTGTCCCTGGTTTCAGTCACGATGTGTTGGACCTGAGTGGGAGGAAAAAAAAGTTAAAACAGTCGTCACGTTGAGAGCTGCAGAAATAATTTAGCACAAGAATTTGGTCTCATAAAGCTGAATGTATAGAGCCAGTTTGACAATATGACACCGAACTATTTTGTTCCGTTACAACATGTCGAGGATTTCCAAAGCCCACGTACAGAGTGGGAGGAAAATGTAGAAATAAATAAAAATAGGAGGCAGCACAACAACTGCTGTGTCCAAATGTTTTTTGGCAGGGAGAAAAAACCCACTTTAAAAATTTAACACTTGAAAGCAACACAAATTAGACTAACAACTTAGACTATGGTGCACTAAAGCCTCGCCCTGGAAGCAATACGAATGAAATTAACAAAATTTAAACCAGTTTCATATCCACTTAGGGTTTGTCCTTGAATAAACTGTCATTGGAGATCTTGGTTTTTGATCCAGCGCCAAATTTATTTTATTTCTGTAAAGCCAGTCCAAAAAAATCGACTGTATTGAATAAAACTTTTTTGGCAGCTGCGGTAGATGCAGCCTGGTGGAGGTTGAACAAGACTTACTCAAGGTAACAAACAGCACATCACATGGCTTATCACACTTCCATAATGTGTGTCACTTAAATTATAGACCGCAGATGGAGCACATACTACCAGTGACAAATTATTAATTAAAGGCTGAATGAATGACTTGTGAAGCATAATGAATGCAGATGCTTCTAATAGGGGCATAAGGAGTATGGTGATGATGTGAATCACATTCCACATAAAGTCTGGAAAAAATATTGTGAATTTCAATGGAGGATGTCAAGCTTAACCTCATGGAGAACATTTGTCAAGAGGAGTCTTAGTAGATATTTCATCACACATTGTGGCTCCAAGGAAGCCAACAACCACCACTTATCTTAGGTCAGTCCAAGAGTTAAGATTTTTGCTCCAGATTTATACAAAATTGCTTTTAATTGGGAAAAACTCAGCCTGTCTGTGCAGAATTGCATGTTCTCCCCGTGTCAGCGTGCGTTTTCTTTGGGTACTCCGGCTTCCTCCCAAAATGTTTCTGCCCCTTTTAAACTAAGTCAATAAGGCTAATACAGGCATCACAAATTGAATCAATGTGTCAGGTTGTTTCAAGTATGAGGACATAATTTTTTTTCTACAAATACTAAGAATTTCTCTACATTTACAAACTTGCATTTCTCTGGCAGAGTTTTTGACGGATGTAAAGGATGATTTACGAGCACAGGCTTACTGATAATCATTTAAAAAGCTCATAAATTGGAAAAGCTCAGAAAATAACTAATTTCAGACAAGTGGACAACTATTAGTAGCCAGGTTAACTGTAAACCGGTGCTAATGGGTGATGCTGCTCTGGTGTTTTGCAGGCTAGCAAGACTTGCAAGTTTACGGCCCATCGGCTCTCAGATCTCATGCCGTTCATATGGCATTGAAAAATTATGTCAAGCATGGACATTCTCGGCTTACTAGTTTAAAACATTCATCTCAACTCATTCTGAGCGTCTAATGACTCACCACTAACATTTTACTCCTGTCTCGTCTTGTCAACAAAAACAAAACGTTCATTGTGTCATAGTTTTTAATTATCAAAGCTCTATTTCTAGCTATCATATCTCATTTTTGTCATGGTAAAAAAGGTCTTGACTTCATTAATGAAATTAACACTGCTAGTAAAGTAACTACTATTTTGTGTTCTTTAATTACAGTGTAAAAAGCTGAAAAGATGGATCACTCTGTAAATGTATCTCATTACAGATGACTGTGTGACCTGCTGCTGCTAAGTAATCCCAAATAAAGGGGAAAAAATGTCCAAAAAAAAGGAAAGAAAGAAAGAAATGATATGAATCACATCCTCTTGTGTTTGCATTCACCAGATGTCAGATGTACACCTACAGGAGATTTAGGAGCAATGTGTTAGGCACCACCATCATCAAAACACCAAATAAGGGTTCATCTTTATCTTTTAGATGATGGTGTTCATCCATCCAGCAAAGGGTCTAAAATCCCGGAGAATCCATCTCAAGGAGCACTGGAGCTGTTCTGAAGGCTTACGGTGTGAAAACACCTCACTAACACACTTCACGGTGGTTTTTCCTTTCATTTGGCCGCCATCTGCACCCACAGTTTTAAAGTGAGTAAATCAGCTGAAAGGACAAAGCGTCACATCTGTAAACTGTGGATAACAGATGCTGGTGAGACATTAACTAATCTTTACTCTACCTTAATGGCATCACTGCCTTTACTCAAATGACACTGTATTTGTTCTGAGCAATTAAGATGAACGCTCGAAAATGAAGGTGAAGCAGACAAGTAGCATGAATAAAATGGGTCTGGGCCATCAGAGTTTGAAAATAGTACTTTAACAGAAAGTTCCACATCAGCTGCAGCCATCTTGGTTGTTTTAAAAAGCCTCAACAGCGCTCCTCTTTACTAGATAGGTTAATGATCACCGTAATGTTCCCATATTCCTGTATGTATTCATCACGCATTTTGCGTAACGCTTGAAGGCTCTACAAGTTGTTAGTCATCATCTGAAGCACGCCCCATATTAGATAAAGGGGCGACTAGATGACTGAATGTTGCTCCCCTCCCAGGTCAATACTAGGATTACTAGTCGGTTAAACCTATTATTAAGACAGCCAGAGGAAAACAGGAGGAGTAAGGATCAGTATGTGAGACTGACCAGCTGCTCTGATCATCAACGTCTCTCCCTCTGTCCCTCTTTCACGCAGATAATATGGACAGAACAACGTGCATGCGACTGTTACAAGTCCGCAGCAAATTAGTCGTTAGGAACATCCCTAGCTGTGATTGGCTCTACCCAGGCAAGGGCGGCTGGAAATCTGTCTGAAGAGGACACGGACCAGACGTTATCTGCCAGAGCAAATAAAACATGAGCCAGCAGATTCTTCTGGTTCCCAGGCTATGTGTGAGCACCTTCCCCTGAAATGTGACAAAAACAAGGGTGCATCATCCACAGTGCAGCACTGACCTGCTCCCTGCAGACAGCTAAAATACAGTCAGTCTTGACGCCAAAATTGCAGTGTGACAGCAGCGCCTCCTGTTCCTCTACTCCCACTGCAGCACACTGCCAGTCACTAAAATACTGAATGGGCCAAGAAAAATCCTCACTCATGAGAGTGTCACAAATTTCTCCACTGAAACTAATGAAAAAACAGCATTTAAAGATAAATCTCTATCTCATGACAGCCTGGCTCATTCCTGAAAGAGTGATGCTGTTTGTGTTGGGCACTAGGATGATGGAGAACGACTTTATCCCAATGTTACTGTGCTGTATATAATCATGGGTGTTGTGCTCTGCTATGTCCATACCTCATCCTCGTGGGCTTCTTTCAGAGACTCGATTTCCTCCTCGTGCTCGTCGTTCTTGGTGTTGAGAGCATAAATTACCTGGAGACAGGAAGAGAATTAGACGACAGAATGAGGATGGGATATAAAGCTCTTATTAACTGTTTCAATATCAGATCAATAGTTCCACAGTGAGGAGTAAATCTCAGTTCTGCATTCAGAGTGCAGCAAAATCAATACCAATAACATCAGGAAAGGAGAGAAATGGGTTTCGCACACTGATTAAAGACAGAAGTATCCAGAGACAGAGCTGTGTATTCACAGCAGCTGCTGTAAAATACAGTCACCTCTTTTTTCAGAAGTGTTTTGTATCTAAACTTTTCTTGAGCAATGAGTGTTTTGTAAAGAAAGCCAAGAAAAGCCTGACTTAGGTAAACCTCACAAACTGAGTCACACAAAACAAGTCACAGCAAAGAAGCCATGACGAAGGTCTTTGTATCCAAAAGCTGACAAAACAAATCTGATGCAAAGGAGATGACTGATCAGATGTTTTGACCTTTTTTATTCCCAGAAATCCCACATGGCTCTCAGATGTTGTCACCTGATACTCTGCTGGCTGCAGCACCCTCCACAAACAAGCCTAAGTGAAAACCATCTTGTCAGTCATGCTTGCTCTCTCTCTCCCTCAGATGTATAAGAAGGTTTTAAATGTGCTGCAGGTAAATGATATGCAGGAGCTTTAAAATACGCTTAAGCTTCAGCAAATTGAAGCCCCTGGTGAGCAGCTAATATTCAGTCATGGTCAGCTGAATTACAGCCCCGCTGGCATGAGAACTAGAAGCTCCACATTTTGTTCCACTTGCAGGTGATGTGAAAGGTTACGTACAGCATGTAATGGACACATACATGGTAATTATCCTCCATAAGGCTTTAGCATGTAATTACTGTTCGCCTGGAGGGGATCAAGCATCCAGTCATGTGTGGGAATAAGTGTGTGAATTAGGGCTGGGTGATATATCCTGAAAATTATATCATGATATTTTTAGGCTATATCTCAATACACGATATATATCTCGATATACTTAAATCTCCTCCGAAGGATTTTAATTAACGCTAGGACAGGGAGACAAAATCGAAAATAACAAAAAACCCTCTATGATCCAGAAAATATTAACATCATGCAATTTTTGATCAATAATCATCCATACAGTGGACATAACAATCGAGTGGATGAAAGAAACTGTAAGTTGCTAAATTTCCATCACTTTATTGTAATCCAGCCTTTAAAATGAGGGAAAAACAACATTCATGCCATATCATGATACAACGACATCCAAAATCTAAGACAATATATAGTCTCATATCTCAATAACGATATACTGTCTTCATATTGCCAAGCCCTAGTGTGAATCTATCTGTCCACTGCTATTTTTGCACAAACTACTGGACTAATCAGCCTAATACTTTTATGCCCATTTATGACTTTATGCTCAATAACCTCTTTTGATTGCGATGATTCATAATTGTTGAAAAAATCCTGTTTTATTTACTGTTTTATACCATCATAGGGATCAACAAGCTCACATAACAAAAGGCATTCACAGCAATTGGCTTGGCTAAAAACAAGAAGCCTTACTGTCTGTTACAGGCCATATTTTGCTCCTTCTTGTGGCTAAAAAACCAAGATCCATAAAAAAGTTTGGTGCCGTTTTCAACTGGAGCATCTGCAGATTAATTCCAAACCTGATAAGTTATAATCCACTGCAGTTAAGCACAATAGGAGATGAATAAACCCCCGAATTTGTTGTCTTCAGCATCATCTTGACTGTAAGGGAGCCAACAGGGACAACTGAGTGAGATTCCTGGGACCGTAAAGGGAGGTAGGGAGGGGTTTTATTGGACATTGTGTCCGAGGTGTGTCTCCATAAAGCCCGTCTACTTTAGTTACACCTTGATAATGTAACCTGCATATTGTCTCCTCTTCTTTCCACTGCTGTTATTTATACATGCTGGATACACAGCCTACCCTGCACTCCCTGTTCCCTACAAATGCCCCCAGGCACACCTGCTGCAGATCCTCGCTCTACTGAGAGCACTTTTCTGACATTTAAACACCACTAGGATCAACATCCAAGTAATAATCACAGCTGGGAACTTTTTATTATTGAAAGCTCCACTGAAAAACTAAAAGCACTGCTGTAATACATCTGTACGTCAACCACAGATAACAATTATTTACATCCTGTACATATTCATGCACTGACGTCCATTTGCCTGACTTAAGAAATGCCCTCAAAGGCAGCATGGTCACACCATGTTCACCCTGGCCATGGAGGCGCCCTGATATATCAATTGTTTCGCAAGCAGCTGACTGGCCATTCACACCAGCAGCACATTTCTCCACACCAGTCAGCAAGTGATTCTGCGCGCCTGCTCTTTTCTAATCACACGTAGAGCTCTGTCTCCATCTGCTAGTGTGAGTATGTGCTTGTGTGTGTGTGTGTGTGTGTGTGTGCATCTGCTCGATTCGCTCTCTGTTTAGACACAACTGACAAATATGTGGATGAGTAAGCATTAGATGCATATTTTAACATTTACAGGAATCAGATCATCATATATAACATATCGTTTGTAACAGATTATCAATCTTGCCAGATTCGCTCGCAGCTCACAGAAAAAACAGACCAGATGCCAGAACTATCACTGCAGATCGCAAGCCAGCCCCGGAGCTCGGGGCCATAGCAGATCCAGAGTGGACTGGCCAATTTGTCAACGTAGGTGGCGAGAGAAAGCAGGCAGCGCTCCATAGAAAATTGATGCACTTCCCGGCACTTCTGCATCCCATATGACCCTGGTGTTGTTCTCATGATATCCATGTATGTACATTAGTGTTTCTGACATACATGTCATGTCATGGTTTCGTGTAGGGCTGGCTCATAATTCAATATCATCTATCACGGGTTATTTTGGTCAATACCTTGAAGGTATAAAGTACTGATACCCAGCCCTGATGACATGTTGTCCAACTGCATCTGAAGACAAAAGCATTTAAGAGTGTCAGTCTCTCCCTCAAGAGATTCATGGTGGTCGCAGACAAAGTGACAGGACTAGTTATGTGACAGAGAAGAAAGAGAAGATTAAAACATGCCTCCGCACACCTGGCCAAGTGGGAGTGATTGTCAGACTGTCGGCTTCTGAGAAGTCACAAAAATGTGTCGCCGTCACCCCAATTCGGTTGTCAGACAGAGAGTTTCCAGCTGATAGATGACAAGCACGTTGTTTGAAGCACACTGAGGCCCTGAAGCGACCCTAATGATCACAAATGAGACCTGGTTACTGAAATTACACCCATTTTGGTTTGTGCACTTTTGCAGCTAACTGTTGCAAGACTGGAGAAAAGCTCTGCAGCACAAACACTCAATCTGAGGTCAAAAAGCGTACACGGACGATATTTGTAAAAAGGACTTGGTTTTTGTCTCCTGAAGAAGTCGTTCTGAATAAAAGATGTATCAGTGATATAATTTAAACTTTTAAAGTTTTTTTCATTTTAAAGTGCAACGACATGACTGATTTCTGCTCATTTTGCCGCCTGCTGATAATCACTACCTGCATGTTTTTATTTACCGGTACATCACCGGTGCAACCTCGACAGTATGTTTCAGCTGGCAGTGAAAGGAGCCGAGTAAGGTAGGTGTTAGCCTTCTGTTCTCCTCAAGTGTGAGCCTTTGATTCCCAGCAGTAAGCCGGCCATGGAAACGTTCCTTCAATTATACATGATTATTTTAATGACGCTGGTGTGCCTGCTGCTTTCATCTCGCTCTCCTCTCCCTCTGCTCTCATCCTTTTATCTCTCCCGCTTTTTGTTCTGTATCTGCTTCTCTCTCCGCTCTCTTTCTCTCCCCATCTCCCAGGAATAAGGAGACCTCGCATTACTGTTTGTGTCTCCATCTTAACACTAAAGCTTTCCATAAATAATCATTCACGATGCAATTTCTCTGTGTTTTAAAGTGATTCTGTTGCAAATCAGCTATAACCAGCAGTGAAAACATATTTGTTGACTGAATTATGTAGCATGATGAACAGTTCTAACATGGTTTTGTAGATTAATCAATGATGAAAATGGCAGCAGTCCAAGTGCCAACACAGTGCTTTATAATGCATCATATATATCTAAGGTGGAGACTGGGGTTGAAGTGAGGACAGAAAGGAGATAAAAATAAGATGGAATATATTTTTCTATGTGTGTTTATATGAAATTCCCACTGCCACTGTGGGAATATCAACAATATCTGTGCATAGCAACCATGGTAAGGTTAAGGAAAACAAATCCAAGACAAATTTTTGCCCAAGGACACCAAAATTAAACTTCCTACCACAGCTTTATTCTCAAAAATCAAAGCTCATAGTTGGTGCATGCTTGAATAAAACTCCTTGTTCTTAGTTTCAACCACTAATTGAAAAACTTTCACACACGATCAATGACTAAAAAGTGTTGCCTACATCTGATATGACAGATATGTTACTATTTGATTGATGATATCGTATATTTATTATACGATTGATTAACTTCAAAGCCCTTAAGCTCAGCTAATTTTGATTTTATTCCTGGGATTTGATGGAAGTTTTAATATCCCATGGTTTACTGTAATTCTTTTTCAGAGTCTTATCCACCCTGACAGCAATGATGTTCTAGAAGAAGTCCTCAGTAATTTGGATTTTCTTGGCATGAAAATGGTCAACTGGAAAACTCTGATCTGAACTTCAAGCACATTGTTATCCTTTGCATGACTGAAACCTTCACAGCAGAGATACAGGAGCTGTTGCGGATTGCAACACTACTAATTTTACATCTGATTTCAATGTGTTAAGATGCAAACATGCTGTAAAATGTGTTGCTTCCACTGCGCTGGAGCCGAATCTGTTTTAACAGACTTAATTGGCATCTGTCAACCAGACTGGTGTAACGTGACAAGCTATAAAAAGCTGATCAACATTCTCAGTAGCAGAGAAGCATCCAGCCATCATAAATATTGCAGTTTTTTTAAACAATTCTCCACCACATAGGAGAGAACATTAACAATATACAGCAGATTTTCCTCCCA